ATGTAATGTGTATGCACGTGTATGCCTCAATCATTGAGAATATACTCACTAATATCGCTGAAATGATTCCTCTCCTACCCCTTTTTCTTCATTTACTTCTTCTTAGTAGTTTTAGTTGTAGTAGTAGTAGTAATAGCAGCAGTATCATAATAATCATTATTATTATCATTGTTATATTTATTATTATAGTAAATATCATAATTATAATCATTATTATATATCATTATATCATTATTAGTATGTGTTATTGTTATTATTCTTATAGTTATTTGTATGCTTCTTCTTCTTATCATTATTATCGTATACACAATACGTCATGTGCCAAAAATTTATTGCTATGATACATCCAAGATGTCTACCAAAACTGTCAATTCGTTGCTGAAATATTATCAAGCCAAAAGAAGGAACATTAGAATTTCTATTATAAATTTAAATAAATTATATAGGAGAAATAAATAGAGAATACAATCATGATTTTGGAACTAGGGGATTAGCATGGACATAATGCACTTGTTTACATGACTACATTATATCTTATTCATTCTACCTCCAATTTTTCAGACTTGATTCCACTTGGTTGATTCTATTGTTCGGGCTATTTAGCAGAACGAGATAGAAATTGACATTCTCATGGCTAACGTTTTTTCGTTAGTAGTTGTTCATCGTCTCTACAATGCTATTTGAACAATATTTGGTGACAACAGACGGCATTTTTATGTAGCGTCAAAAGCCGTCAAATAACGAAAACATGGCACATAAAAAGATCCTCAGAACTGGGTCTGATTTAAAGGAAACTTATTTTGAACCCGGCCTTATTCTGTCTCTCTCTCTCTCTGTCGCTCTCGTTTGTCATTGCCTTCATTTTCCCTCGCTTTCTTCATTCTTACTTCGGAATATGTAATGTGTATGCACGTGTATGCCTCAATCATTGAGAATATACTCACTAATATCGCTGAAATGATTCTTCTCCTACCCCTTTTTCTTCATTTACTTCTTCTTAGTAGTTGTAGTTGTAGTAGTAGTAATAGCAGCAGTATCATAATAATCATTATTATTATCATTGTTATATTTATTATTATAGTAAATATCGTAATTATAATCATTATTATATATCATTATATCATTATTAGTATGTGTTATTGTTATTATTCTTATAGTTATTTGTATGCTTCTTCTTCTTATCATTATTATCGTATACACAATACGTCATGTGCCAAAAATTTATTGCTACGATACATCCAAGATGTCTACCAAAACTGTCAATTCGTTGCTGAAATATTATCAAGCCAAAAGAAGGAACATTAGAATTTCTATTTTAAATTTAAATAAATTATATAGGAGAAATAAATAGAGAATACAATCATGATTTTAGAACTAGGGGATTAGCTTGGACATAATGCACTTGTTTACATGACCACATTATCTCTTATTCATTCTACCTCCAATTTTTCAGACTTGATTCCACTTGGTTGATTCTATTGTTCTATTGTTCGGATTATTCAGCCGAACGAGATATAAATTGACATTCTCGTGGCTTACGACTTTGCATTAGTGTTCAGCGTCTCTACAATGCTATTTAAACAATATTTGGTGACAAAAGACGGCATTTTTATGTAGCGACAAAAGCCATCAAATAACAAAAGCATGGCAGATAAAAAGATCCTCAGTACTGGGTCTAATAATTTAAAGAATACTTAATTTGAACCCGGCCATATTCTCTCTCTCTCACTCGTTTGTCATTGCCCTCATTTTCCCTCGCTTACTTCATTCTTATCACGGAATATGTAATGTGTATGTGTAGGCCTCATTATGTTAATTAGGGTCAATGGTCAAATTGTCTCAATATATCTTCCATACATCCATAATTATCAAGGCTAAACAGTAGAAACTTGACATATGGATAGATCATAATGGGAGAAGCATTTTATATAACAATATGACATCGTGAAAATGCATTCTTCATTATGTAAATCATTAGCATACGTATCACCTAATTCGTCAAAGTGACGAATTAAAGTCTAGTATATTTTTTGTTTCTATTCTGCTTTATGTCGCTTCTATGTTAATATTGTAGTTTAAGGACCCCCCCCCCCGGAAAAACAGTAGTGCTCTATAAACACTGATGAATTGGGCTTTCCGCCGATGTTTGTCTATGTACATGGATAAATATTTCATTTTGTATATTTTACTATGTATAATATTTTTTTTTTTCATCTGATTTCGGAAATGAACAATAACAACAACATTGTTATCTTATTAATCAGTTACATCATGACCACAATTTTGTTACCAAATGAAGAGAAGAAGTTACTGAAAAGAATACTTTCTGTATGTTTAACATTTTTCATGTTTATGTAAATTATGCAAATATGCTTAAGGGTCTCCAATTCCCTACACCTACCCTATTCAGGGTCCTACCGTAACAACAATTAGGTTTCATTGAATCAATAGGATGAATTTTTGTTTTTCTTCAATTTTCTTCCAACACTGGTCAGTGTAACAAAATTATTCCAACTTAATGGTATCAGTGTATGAAAGTACGCTTTAACATTTAAAATAAATGCATTCGTATTACTGTAAAGTTGTTCGCTCGTTTTATTTTGCACAACGCAAGTGAACAACAACTTTCGTTCTCTTGTCATTTCTCTGTTTAATTGTACTTACATCAATATTGTAAAGCGGTTTGATAAACATTTCCTATGAAAAGCGCTATATAAGTAGAAGTTATGATTATTAAGAATGATCGTCCTCGTCCTCGAATCTCTTTGGAAGACGGTGATATGGGATTTATATGAAATTTAAAAAAAGACATGGAAAAACAAAAGAGAGATTCCAGAAAGTCGAAGAGGCTGTCTATAAATTTGCAGCAATAAGGGTACTTTTGGCCATTGAAAACGTCTCAACCACCATAGGTTGATACGCAAAGACAAATCTTCAAAGAATGACTTTTGAATTATGAAAATGTGGATGATAATTGCGATCTCTGAAAGAAAAAACAAACAAAAGAAAACAAAACTAACAAACAAACAAGATAATATTCGTATCACTTACCCGCTAACAAATTACAGCGGATTGAATCATGTACGTTGGTTCAGCTGGAATTGTGATATGAGTATATGCTCGGCAGTGAGGTTAGACGAAACCGCTGGCGTTTAGTGTTTATACTTGACGAAAGAGAGCACATCTGGGCCAGCTTCACGAAACCCTATTAATTTCAAGTTCGCCGACACCCCCATTTAAACGCTTGTCGTAAAACGCATTTCGTTGAAATTTCGATGATCTTGGTACTTGTGACCGTTTCGTGAAATGGGGCCCGGAATTCTTACTATTTCTTTTTGTCACGTTCGCGCGTGCGGCACCATCGTTTCGCACCAATAGGGACTTTTAGATTTGCGTGGACTGATGCGTGTGACGTCCATTCAAGACAGTGCATTAAAAGGACGTCGACCTATCAAAGAGGGCGGGGAGGGGACGGCCCAATTCAGAACGTTATAATATTTCGGGGTACTAATTTCTGTAAGTGTTGAAAAGCAAGCAAGTAATCAATCGAACAAACAGACGATATCAAACGAACATAAACAGAAAACACACAACAAACAAAGATAGAAAACCGCACTTATATAGAAGTTTCAACAAATACACGAACGATCTGGCGCTTTTGGTTGAACTAATATATGAAAGGGGTAGCACAAAGTAATACACATATTTAGGGGCACGTTTTCAATTTTACTTGACTTGTTTTTTACCGGAGGGGGGGGGGGGGTACCTTTGTGTCCTCAGTTTTGCCACATGTCTGCTACTGTAAATAAAAGCCGCTCCGAGAGAGAATTTAATTTGTATTGTTGTACGGGTGTACTCAGTCACGCTAAAAGAAAGATTGTTGATGTTCTAGTAGCTTTTTGTTGAGGAGCAAGGTCGCGTTTTTTCTTCTCTGAAAGCATTGTTTAGGTTACCAATGACAATGATAATAGCGGAGTGTGACTTCCTCACCGCTCATGTCTGACACAATGCCACTCCTGTCGCTCGAATATACAATGACACTGGTTTTTAATAACACGGCCGCCATTACAGCGCTCGAGCAATAGGAGGAATTAATTTCTACCCTGTATCCATTTACCTCACCTGGATGGAACGTGGAAAAAGGAGATTAATGTCTTGTCAAAGGACATTAGACCTACGCTAAAATGTCTTTTTTTATTTTTTATTTCCAGCAGATGATTCCCAAATGATGATAACGTGAATCTTGTAATTTTCGAATAAAAAGAGACGAAAATGATATATCTTTGTGGGAATATAAACAGATACGTATGTTGCTACCATCACTATCATTCAGCTAAGCCGTTCAATTGCGCCCTGTCTGACGCTCTCTCTCTCTCTCTCTCTCTCCTTTATTTCCCCCTCCTATGTCTGCATTTACCCTGTTTTTTCTGTGTACCTTTTTCTAATTTCTGTTACGCATGGACCCCATGCTTTCTCTCAATCTGCTCACATTTGTCATTCTTTTGATGTCTCAAGGAATCGTCAAATCTCAAATTTCCCCACCTCTCCAAAAGAAGACAAAAATATTGTGTACAGTTGGTATAGAGGCATTTTGTGTGTGTGTGTGTGTGTGTATGTGTGCGTGTGTGTGTGCGCGTGTGTGTTTTGTTTTGTGATGTTTTGTGTAGTGCTGTGAGTTGAGTACTTTTATTCCTTTCCATGTTTTAAAATAATGTTATGGATAGTTTCGTTTGTTCATTCATATTTAGTAGTACACTGTAGATCAGTTGCTACTATGCAGATATATTGTATGATGCACTTTTTCTTAATCTTAAATATATATATATATATATATATATGATGTATTTATCTGCTACCAAACCTGTACATTGTGTGGTGTTAATTTTTCCTTTTGAATAACAACACTAAAACAAAACAAAAAATATTTAAAGAAATCTCAAATCACTCGCTGAAGATAACGATATACGTATACATGAAATAAAAATTACCTACAAATCCAATGAATTTTTCTTGCTGTTTATTGTGCCACATCCCAAACATTTTTTTAAAAGGAAAATCGCCACGAGACGTATGGAACTTCAAAATTTTATCGCGTCATTTAAGCTGCACATGTATCATCTAATCTATATACTAGTATTCCATGCCAAAGGGTAAAGCCGAGTTAAAAAATGAATTAAAATGTAACAAAATCTAGCGCATGAGTATAAACACTATCACAATTAGCATTTATAGTGAAAGATTTGGAAAGTTAGGTAGCTTTATTGTCTTGTCATGGCTTTGATGTAGATGTATCCATAAATAATGGACAAACTGTGCAAGTAATGACCTACTTCAGCAGATTTTCAACTACTAAAGTTCACCCATTATGGTGTTAGTTTCATGACCCACTTTGCAAAGATAATAGCAAAACCAGGTCCATCAGTGTAAATGCACGAGATGTGAAAAAAGGAAACTTGATTGAAAATAACTCAATTGTTATTAATAGCTTCAAGAGGAACTTCTCCCGTTGTAAGGCTTCGAATTTAGATTTATTGGATCACGATGCTGCTTGTAAGTATCGGCTTGCATGGTGATGTAGATATACAGTAGGCTTGCGGGTGCACCATGTGAGAGAGAGGGAGGATTGACGAGTCCTGAAAAGGGCTCACGGGAATCTTTCTTGAGGGTGTGTAGTCCTCAAAAGGACTGTTGGTTATCTTTCTTAGCTTATAGTTCTAAGGAGAACTATAGCGCTTGGAGAGGATGAGTGGCGGGAGTGGCTTGACGGATAGTCAACCTATTCGAAACGTCGAGCCACTATTTTTGTTCGCCTGTGCAATATGGGACTGATTAATCACGCTACACCGTTATAAATAATTTCAATAAACATGATTACAGTGTGTTTTTTCCCTTTAAAACTTTGAAACACCGGAAAGAATAACTTAATTTTTTTTTCCAATAGATATGTAACTGTATGGGTGACAAGGAGTGACATAGGGTCACAATGTGCGTATTTGGGCATGTGTACACGTCTGTGTTTGTGTGCGAGAGAGATAGAATGAGGGAATCGGAGAGGAATAGAGAGAGAGAAAAGAGAGAGAGAGAGAGAGAGAGAGAGAGAGAGAAAAGAGAGAGAGAGAGAGAGAGGGGGAGGGAGAGAGGGGGTGGGGGAGAAGGAAAGAGTGAGATGGAAAGACAGAAAGAAGTCGAGAAAGAGAAAAGAAGTTCATATTTCCGAATAAATTTGCATGTAAGTATCGACCTAAAAGTGTTCTTTCCGATGTTTTGAAGGACAGGGGAAAATATGAGACACGTGAAAAAGATTCAAAATAGTGCAATGAACATAATTTGGATAATGTGCAAATAACCTATACAAAATAAAGAAATTAAAACTCATATTTTCATCTAAATATCGTTGTACATAACCAATTTGACAAAATCAAGTGTTGAATCAATGAGGTCGCTGAACAAGAGAGAGAGAGAGAGAGAGGGATAGAGAGAGCGTAATAAATTGTGCGGATTTTCAAATAGCACAATTGTGTAAAAATATAAAGAATGAATGAATAATGTTGTGGTCAGAAGCTTTTACAAGCAAGACCCTATATACAATCATATAGATTCATGGTGTTTCTGCCATTCTTAAAAAAAATGACTATATATCATCATGGTAATTTGTACTACATAAAAAGAGTATAATCACACATGCATCTATTTATCAAGATTATGAGGTAGGTTTAATAATTGACTGAGGAGTGGCAATTTTTTTCTTCCTGATTTTTATTTTATTGATTTTCGTTTCAATATAGGCAAGTACAAAATACAGAAGAAATTCAATAATGTACAGAAAAAACTTTAATAAGTTTGTGTGCAAATAGAAAAATTAAGAAAACTGGTAATGATAAGGATAATGATATGTATAGACCTACATCGCAACAGGCTAGCATGCTAAAGGAGCGATGGATTAGGCGGGACAGACTGTGTCCATCGCACCTTTGGATTAAAAACATCTTTATTTTATTTTCCCGGTCACAAAGTAAAAATTAAGTAAATTCATCATGATTTGCATCACAGTGAAGAATGTGTACACCTGGGAGGGGCGGAACTTCCTCCCTAGAGGGACATGGATGTGTTTGAATGCAAATTATGTTGTGGGCCTGTACTGGATGTGCTATTAGAGACTTTTACATTTGCACATAGTAGACTGCTACGGACGTCACACGTAGCAGTCCACTATGTCGACATGCAAATATAAAAGTCCCTATTGCATAATGATGGAGCCCATACATTGGCACACACGTAGTTTTTTCCCCATTGGATACACTGAATGCCTCTAAGCAGCATACTCTGCGACTCCTTGGTTCCCTTGGGCGGATTTCTGGTCAATTTGGGCGACTTTATAGCAGCATTTGTTACCACCACCAAACCATCATTCCAATTGAAGCGCCGCATAGGACGAAGGCGTTGGCGAGATTGAACTTTTGCCACATGGGGTTCTCGTCAATGCTCTTGATCATACTGGCTTCGTCAGGCACCTCATGGTCATCTTTAGGGTTGTATCCGAGGAACCAGTAGCAACACCTCTTCCACGCTGGGTTTTCTACACATTTGGGAAGAAGAACAAATGTTTGGAGTGCTTACATGTATGATGTACACTTAATGTGAGATGAAAGTGGGTTGTGGCAGTCCGCTGTTTGCAGTCAACGTTTGCCATTTTCAAAAGAATATTAGTGGACATATCGTGTATGGATTACCGTAATCAACGTTTCATTTGAAAACATATTATTTCAACTTTATGAAAAGGAAAAAAACACAGTATGTTCAAGATAACGGTTTATTTTGGGGGTTTTGTTTCTTTGCTTTTTCTTGGACGCACTGTATATAAATATTTAGGTTTCAGGCTAGCAAATTTCTGCCCCAGTCTCCCTAGACAAAGATTGCAACGTTTACTATCAGGATTAAGTCAACGTGACACATTTAAATGTGTTATGGCCACTTTAGTTCACCTTCATTATCATCTTGAGCTCTCGATGAAGGGTCAGCCTCTACAGCGCCCTCTCCGTCTTCTGGTATCCTTTTCACTTCTTCTTGGTTAGCCTCGTCGGCCTCTTTGCTCTTGGACATCTCCACAGCCTCTGGGTTCTGTTCAGGATCAGTGGCGCTATTGGTCGGATCGCCTTTTTTAGTAGGGTCCATTCCTCGGGTCCAGTAAGTTTTGCCCATGATCTACAGGAGATTAGCAACACAGTGGATATAGTTACGAGGCTGAAACAGTAACGCTTACTTTTGGCTATTAGCTAATTTTGTGTTAGCATTCATTTTGTGATTGTATTTCCCGGACACCATTTTCATTGAAACTTATGCTGTCAAAAAGGGTAACGTTAAGGGCAGTTAATGATAATAATAATAATAGTGTTGGTTTCTGGAATAGCGCACATAATCTATTGTGATGACGTCTCTAGTGCTTTAACAATAATGATAATGATCATAATTTGGGTTTATATAGTGCTTAATACGGAACACCGTCTCTTATTTCTCAAACTGTTGATTTGTGACCACTCCATCCAAGTTGATGATTTAGGGTTATTTAGCGTGGGTTCTAATATTTCCTTTTCCAGGGAAAAAAAAAAATATTCAAAAAAATGTCATCAGTCCATTCTTCTTTCTTTATTTAATTTTTTTTGTTGTTGTTATAGTTTCATGTCATATTCCGAATATTCGGTATTTGATGAACAAATCTTGTCAGGGGCCTCTTTATCATGTTTCTCTGTTTTTTAAAGCCAGAAGATTTGATGCTCCTTCTGGCTCCAAACAGACGATTTCTACTAGGATCTTCTAATTTGCTGATATACGGAGAAAGGAGAAAGCTCAAACATTTCATCTTCAAAAGAACTCAACCTTCTCTCTATAAAATAAAAGTTTCGGGATGCTTCGTAACTACATGCACAATGTGGACAGGTCAGCATCACCGATAAAATACCGTCTGCACTAGTTTGGCCAGGGGGATTAGACCTTCCTGCAAGGTCACTGATAAGTGGTTATTTTATCAATTCAGTTCTCAATTTACGTAAGAAAAAGGGGATCTTGGGGGACCAATGGTAACCGATTAGGCATTGTTTGCTATATAGAGGGCGCAAGTAGCTATAAGTAGTACAGTGGGGCTTTAAGACACACCTGTTCTGCCGAGGGTTTCTCCGTGATCAGACTGACAGCGATGGTGACGACCAAGGATACCAGGGTCACAATGCAGTTGTAGTAGAGGAAGTGGACCGCACTGACGATGCCCGGTCTGGTGTCCTCCTCTCCGCAGGCTGGGGAAGGGTAAAGGATGTCCAGGATCATCCGGGTGAGACCAAGGGCCACACCGGCCACCAACCCCCAGAAAGCACCCTTGATTGAAAAGCAAAAAAAATAAATGGATGCAAATTGTTTTGTATTGTGTTGTATTAAATGTTGTATAAGATTATGTGTTAAAAAAAAGTTTTATAACATGATTTTACTAATGACCGGTCATTAGCATTTGATAATGACCGGTCATTATCAAAATTACATGTTAGGCAAAATAAATGCCTGGTCACGGGTACGCTCTCAACCAATCATTTGATCAGGATCCACGTCATCATCTTCAAAATAATGATCAGGACCTTTATGTTCATACCAGTGACTTGATCTGCATTCATTATTTTGTCCTAATTTATTATATCAACCACAACCTTCTTCTACGTACAAACACAAGTAATCTACTGCTATTCTATTTAGAGAACACTGTAGGCGATTATGTTTTTATATATTGATTGTTGATGGTATTGAATATTGAAATCATAGGATATCAGAAATCATGGGTAAAAGTAGTTAATAATCAGTGAGTAAAGAAAAGGATAAACAAAACTAGGAACATAGTACACGGGAGGGGTTAGGGTGAGGTAAACAAGAGAGGAAAGGAGGTGAATGAAGAATAGAAAAGGTTGAACATAATAAGAAAGAGGAATCGACAAAGAAAGAGAGAAAGAGAGAGAGAGAGAGAGAGAGAGAGGGGGTGGGTGAGTGACAGAGATAGAGAGAGAGAGAGGAGAGAGAGGGGGAGGGAGTGAGTGACACACATAGAGAGAAAGAAATTAGTCTGCAGGCACAGACCCTAATCTGACACTTAATCAAAACATCATTGTGCCTTGAGAGAAGTCTAGCCCAGCTACCTACTGGTTGTGTCAGGAGCAGCTACAGTACATGGCCTATGGTAGTCTTATAGTGCAGACTCACTTTTACGACTGACCAGGGTTTGTGCTTGCAGACTAGAAAGAAATAGAGAGAGAGAGAAAGAAACAGAGAGAGAGAGAGAGAGAGTGAGAGAGAGAGAGAGAGAGAGAGAGAGAAAGCGAGAGTGAGAGAGGGTGTGACAGAGAGAGAGAGAGAGAGAGAGGGAGTGAGAGAGAGAGAGAGATATAGAGAGAGAAACAGGGAGATAGAGAGAGATGGAGCGAGAAACAGAGAGGGAGAGAAACAGAGAGAGAGAAAAAAAAAAACAGAGAGAGAGAGAGAGAGAGAGAGATGAGATGGGGGACACCAACCTGTTCGTTGGTCCTGGTCCAGATCACGCCCATGACGAAGCAGATGAAGATGGAAGGAGCGAAGTAAGACTGAAGAGATTGGATGTACTGGAAGAGCTGGCCTCCCTGAGCAGCTTGAACAATCGGAACCCACAGGATGCTGATTCCCACCAAAATTAACACAAATACCCTGCAAGATATCCCGAATCAAACACGTCAAAGGAAGAAAAAGAAATAGGCAAATAACATAATAATGGTAATAGTAATGGCCCCTTCATAAAAGCCCTCTCCCTCAACCACCCCCCTCCCCCTTGAGTAAACGAAACACCACCCCCCCCCCCTTTTTTCGGGTAAGAACATTGGGAAAAAATTGAAAAAAATAAGGGAAAAATCGGGGGAAAAAAAAGAAGAAAAAAAAATGTATATATATATATATATATATCGGGAAAAAAAATCGGGGAAAAAAATAATCGGGTCACCGATTTAAATCGGGTAATTATCAGGCCTGCTATACAGAAGACATGTGTGGTAGCGGATCTGTCTAGAAAGGCCACCTGACTACATCGGCCACTGTTTGATTAGATTAGTAACAGGAGGGGGCGGGGGGGGGGGGTGGCGGCATATTCATTCACATCCGAAAGTACTCATGCTGCTCGAAGGAGCCGAATCTATTCGAAGAACGAATTCATACCAGATTCAACTGGGTGGATTTTTAGATATGTCTTCCCACGGCTTTGTAAAGGACATTGGTCCGGAGGCCGGGACTCGAACCGCGAATCATTGGACTCGTGGTGCAGAGAGGGTATCCAACTGAATAATATATAACTGTATAATACCATTAGTCAATATTTTGATGAATTGAGAACTTATTTATATATATTGCAATCGTTTTTTTCTTCAACGTATTGTTAATTTTGTTATAGCATAGTAATAATTGATTCGCTAGTCACTTATGTATTAATTTTGACCTCTACCACGTATAGAAATGAATCAGATTCAGAGGTGAATTGGGGGGGGGGGGGGGAGGGGGAGAACATGGGTTCGAACCTCCCCCTTTTCTCTTGTTATTTATTTTGGGAAATTTAACCTCCTTTTTAAACTTTCAACAACCTTCCCCCTTCTTGATTACGTGAGAAACATCCTTTGGTGTATAAGAACACCCCCAAATCTAACGACTATTTTTCTTTTGTTTGCATGACAATTTTTTTTTATGCGGGATGGGGATTGGACCTCAACCCCCTTTTAACGCTTGACATCCCCCCTCATATGTTGCTCGTCAGAATTTTAGGGATGATGGACCCCCGCCCTCTCCCACTCAATGTTATTTACGGTACGCGTATGCATTTTCCCTCCCTTTGAAATCACCCCTATCTCCGGTGTGTATTAAATACGGTCAATACGGGCCGGATGTTTGAAAGCACCCCCTAATTCCGGTTTGATTAAGTCAATACGGGTCAGACTTTGTCACGCGAAAATACCCCTTTACCAGAGGTTTTGGGAACACGAATGCGGTCCTTCCGACCCCAAAGTGTGTGTGTGTGGGGGGGGGGGGGTGGGTTGGACCACTCCCTCTTTCACAAAATTCTGGATCCGCCCAGAAGTAGAAGGTATAGGAAGAAAGGTCGCGTAGTGATCTGGTTTATACAATTGACCGGTATTAGACATATTTGAAGGTATGCTCTATGGTTATCAATATCGCCACTTGACCGTGCCAAACGGTTTTAGGTTTTATTCTAGTCGTATCGGACATTCATCTTGATGGTCCTTTGCAGAATGTAATGGTAGGGGCCAAGTGTAACTAACCTTCGTAGCAATAACAAATTTAACAGTTTTATAACAAATTTGCTCTCAGCCAACCAAGTTCAAGTATTACAGCAGCTAACAGTTGTTCGCCTGGTATAAACACTTGACCGATATTGAAACATATTTGAAGGTATGCTCTATGGTTAGCAATATCGCGAGTGTTTGCTACTTGACACACAAAACGGTTTTAGGTTTTTGATATTTTCATATTAACACCTTTCACCCAATTTCATTATTGCTTGCTTCGCATTCGTCCCAGAAGTCTTTAAAGGGAGTTGGTAACATTGTTCAGATGAGCGAAAATAGTGTTAAGGTAGTGACTTTAATGCTAGATGTACAATTAAAGGTTATTTGAAAATTTGAGTGCAAACTGACTATTATTAATGATAATAATTGGCAAAAAAATTACCTGATCGATTCCTTAATTCCTTAATTCTGCCAACTATATTCCAATAATTTAATTACAATTTTGGTGGATTCAATCGTCACAAAGCAGTGAATTAGCCTTATATAACATTCCAGACATTTATGTGTTGAACTTTTTTTAAACCCTGCCTTATGTCTAGTTTTCATGGAAAAACGGTTGAGAAAATTCAAATATGGTTGGGATAATTTACAGTTAGAGGGTGGTACATAGTGGCGTATCAAAGAATACCACAAATATCTTTGTGGTTTGAGAATTTTTTCAGGATTTTTTTGCATGTTAATGGGTTAGTACAGTAAAATTAATATAACAAGTAACATTTCATACGAAAATTACGCAGTTTTACATCAACCTTCAACAATTTTAACGAGTCACTTTAAACGTGCATATATCAAAATACCTTTTTTTACAAACCCCATAGGATTTATTGCAGTATTACATTTATAAATTCAACGTAACATAATTAATATCTACAAAAAAATGTTTGAACAAATACAAAATTGACCGTGGGATGTACAGGATGCAGTTTCGATACTATAAGGTGAATGAGAAATGTGGGTTCAGCCCCATAGACCAACAGCCAAAAGGACCGGGAAATAAATGAATAAAAAAATACGGAAAAGGAGAAAGTTCCAAAAGTTCCACAAGACCGACAAAAAACGAGACTGACGAAACAAAGGAATTTACAAGGGAAGATAGAAAAGGTCTGCCTCGTGGGCCGCTGGTCCAGTAAACTCTCAAAAAGTTGCTAGAAGGCCCACAAGACCTTACGTTGTCGGTCTAGTGGGCTGTAGCATAGAAATGTATCAGAATGCATTAACAAGATTATGAGCGTAATGCAAAGAAGGGCATACCGTCCAACAATCATGAGTTCAGTGTTCTTCGCCCTTGGCCGTAGTCGGCGCCATACATCCATGGTGAATATCGTACTTCCGCTGTTGAAAATGGATGTAAGTGAGCTCATGAGGGCAGCAATCATTACAGCCATCATCAGACCTTTAGCACCTGAATACAAGGAAAAGCGAAATACGATAAACCACTTCGGAGATAGCACTAGCACAAGTGACCCCAAATATCCACAGAACTTTTCTACATGGAGACGTCCCATTTTGTGCATTTTAGAATACTTACTGAATAATCAGTGAAGGAGGTATAAAATGGCCTATTGGTATTTCTTCATTTGGTTTCGAGGCAGAAGAGCGTTACTCATATACTTTAACACAGAGTTAACGCCCTCCTGGCTCTGAAAAGACGGTATGGTATAGTGTACATTAATCTACTTTTGCCACTCTCCACCCAGGTGTTAAAAGGGTACGCGGTAGGATGCGAACGTTAACGTGGTTGGATTGGCACGAGTGCGCTCGCAAAATGGCGCCTGGCCGGAAAGCTCCTCAAGGAGCTGAACGTGTACACCATCGTGTGCGGATTAGAAATTTGATTCAGAGACCGGGGTAAAAAATAATTACATTGCAAAGCGCTTAGAAACGTAGTATTAAAGGGATAGTTGAGTTCTGTTTTCAGACCCCAAATGCCTTCAAAGTGCATGGTTATTGCTCTTCTTTTTATCTATGACATTTCTAGTGCCCTTTGAGAACCTAAAATTGCTATGAAGGTAATTTTAGTCAATTTAGCCAAACATTAGCCGAAATTTAGCCAATACGATCACACCAATTCAGCTCCACTTTCAAAAAAATATGGTGACCGTTAATTAATTATTTAATTAAAAATAACAATACATTGGCCGGCTGGTTGTGCGTAACATACTTACCATCACGAAAATGCCCCCCAAAAAGCCAACATCGGCATTGGCTGAAATACGACGTAAAAGGCGCTATTTCGTTATTTCAACGTTTTTTTTCAAGTTATCTAATATTTGTGGTGGTTCACAAGTATTAACAATCGTTATATTTATGGATATTTCAGCCGTCTCTGAACGGATTTTGATCAAACAAAGATGATTTTGTCATTTAAATTGTATGTTCTTTCAAATTTGACACTCAGTTTTTCATTATCTCACAAATTTTTTTTTTTATAGCGCCCTCTGCAATAGAACTCAATTATCCCTTTAAGCGCTATACAATGTGACTATTATTATTATTATTATAATATCATTAATTTATCTTACCGACTGGCATGAGTCTGAGTATAAGAAGAGGATAGGCAATATTTGAACAGGAGCTAGGATTCTGGCAGTACTCCATACAAGACTCGCTGTCCACGCAGGCAACCTCGTCTAGAGAATCAAGGAGAAAAGTGATAAAACAACATAACACTATTTGTCCTTACGTGTAATGGACGTTCCGAACATAACGCTTTGGCGGTTTTCGCCTCATTCTACTTTTTAAAATTTATTTACTGTATTGTTCTATTTGTATACTGCTAACCATTATTGTCAATGCGAAGGAAGTAAACAATGAGTTAAAAGCGTTATTCGTGGCCCGTCTAATAAAGATTTGTGATTAATCGTAACTTATTTGCGATTGATATCAGTCGCATAAGAGTTGGGAAACTGCACTGAAACTTGCGATTGATTGGCGGACTTCCGTATCAAGCTCTTCATAAGACGGGGCCCTGCTCTTGGCATAACTTTGTATTTTATTTATTATGTAAACACAGGACGAATAGATATATCAAAGCATATTACAACCTTTAGAGACAAAATTATATTACTGACCAACCACGAGGGAGATATGAAACTATATTGCCCAAGAATATTCACATTGCCCGAGTTGGAGAAGAGGGTAACAATAGCCTCTATATAGCATCATCATATCATATTAACTTAATACTATTTCTTAGCATCATTCATATCGGGTAGAAGTTAAAGAATGAAAGACAGCTGGGAATACATATTACGGAACGGTTTATACGACATGCATGCATATATGCTATGGCTAATAGCGATAAGTACTGAACGTTTCCAAGTGGTCATCTTGAGAAGCAGCACGGCTTGGATCGATGCGGGCAGAACACCACCACCTTGGGCGATCGTCACCCCACCAAAAGTTTGTTCAGTTCTTCGTCTTTAATTAAGCACGGCGAGCTGCAAGCGAGTTCCAAGTCATGTGCAGGCCTGTCCTAATCAGCTCGAGATGGCCAAATATCTCGCTATTTCAACTATTCCGATCGCAAATTATCCAGTTAATTTGCGTCTTCATCAGCCCGAAGTTGCAATTAGCGAGATATTTGGTCGATACAATCATCCCAAGATATCTTAGGCCAGTTTGCAAAATATCCCGCTATTTGTACGGTGCGTCCTCACCAGCCCAAAGACTGCACTATGCGCGAACGCTAATTTCTCGAGCTCGAGGTCGAGTCTGATGAAGACGCGATTTGTATTTTGTAACTTCGGGAGTATTTCCCAAATCAGAAATAGCGGGATATTTGGCAATCTCGAGCAGATGAAGGCAGGCCTCATTGTTTTTCATAACATCGCCCATGCTTACCTGTGTATAGAACCCTTGCAATCATACCCGGCATAACGATAAGAAATTGAGGTAGAAGTTTGAGCCAACCAGCCACCAGAGAGCCTCCCTTGGCGTGAGTTACGTTCTTAGCGGCGAGAGAACGCTGCACGATAACCTGTACGTGGGGCAGAAGGTAGAAGATTGAACATAATTATTTAGTTGATCAGGTGGACGTTTCATGAAACAATTAGTCGGGGTTTTTCACCGCCTTACATCATTTTCACCGACATTTTTATTGTCATCGACTATTTTCCAGGCCTCTGATTGGTCAAATTTAGATTGATCGTCCATTGGTCAATTAATCCTTCTTTCTTTCATTCATCAATTTATTCATTCATTCAAGCATTTTACTGTTTTGTCTTCAATTTACTGACCCGTCAAATCACTCTTTCCCTTTTCTGTTTTCTTATTTTTTTCTTAATCAACCGATCAATCAACTCAGACATGTACAGTCTCCCAGGTCTGTATAAGAACGTAGTATGGTCCTGTACATCGTAGTAACAACGTAGTAGAAGCGACCAAGAGGTCGCGGCATTGGTCTATATTTGTAATCGTAGTGGCAACGAGTCAGCTGCGCTTTTGACGTAGAATCTTCGCAGTACAGCCGTGATGTAGTCTTTAATTTGACAAATTGCTGGATTCAGACGGAGACAATGCCCCGAGTTGTAAACTTTTTCAGAACGGGGTGGTCGGCATGGTCTTCGTAAGATCGCAATTATGTTTGACCGGGGTATAAGAAACAGGGTATTTCCTATAACATAACGGTAGGGTAAAATTTGATTACGTACCTGATCTGTACACCAATACCAAACCCCAATGACCATGATACCAATGATGGTGCCGGGCCAGGGCTGGTCAGAGGTGAGGGGGTGCCTCATCATACTAAAGGCATCCTCCCTCGGGTATCCGCAGCTGGTATTGGTATCGGTATCATTGAGAACGGAGGATGGGATGGCGAGCATGTACTCCAACCGGAGACCCTCCAGACCACCGATCTCCGTGAAACCTGAACGAGAATAATAATAATAATATTAATTATAATAACAATTATCATAATAACAACAATACTAATATTGATGATAATAATGATATTAATAATAACAATAATGACGATAGTTATACTAATTATTAAAATAAAAATTCTACTAATAATAAAAAGAACTATAATTGGGTAATATTGACCAACGGTATCGAAGCAATTGCCAAGTACCCATTTACACCTGGGTGTAGAGTGGCAAATGTGGATTAACCTCTTACTAAACGATTCTAGCGCTCGGTAGGGAATCGAACCCTCAACCCATGCATTGAGAGTCAAGTGCCTGAACCACTACACTACGACACCTCCACATACAACGACACCTCCTACCATGCCACCATGTCAAACTTTTTAGATATATGTCAGTCTACGAAAACATGATAAAATTAAAATGGCGGCATGGAGGATCTGATAATTTATGACTGTAATCTGTACAGGAAGAGCGAGGGTTCACATGAAAATGGCCTTTTAAAAGTGACATTTTCGAGTCGGACAGCTTCCTGATCAAAACGGCCTTCATTCAACGCAGCCGGGACATCCCAATACACCGATAGCCAACAAGGCCAACAACTAAATACGAGACTAACAATCTGGTGAACCCTCAAAAAAAGCTTTTAGAAGGCCCACATGTTGGTCTCGTGGGCTGTCGGTCTCAGAAGTTTCGCTATATAGATCAACGTTGTCGGTCTCATGGACCGAAGCCCGACATTGCAGCCAACAGCATGCTGTCTCAAAGTTCACGCATGTTCACTGATGCGGAACTTGTCTCGTTAACGGAGGACAACCATTGTCCTTCAGAAACGACTGTCCCCCGTTTACTGTTTACTCCCACTTTTAAAAAGAGGGGTAACTCGTGCCCTCCTCCAATCTTTCCGAATACAACCTGTTCAATTGGATGTATTGAGATGTGAGTGATTACATCACAAATATAAAAGCTATAATATAGGACATGTACATCCGGCCACAAAAGTAAGGACTTTTAGATTTGCGTGGACTGACGTGTGACGTAAATTCAAGGCAGTGCATTAAAAGGACGTCGATCGTAGCAATCCACGTTGTGGTTGTGCAAATCTAAAAGTCCCTAGTGACCGGCAGCAAAAGCGTAAATATGAATGATTGACTTACTGATGACCATGAGGGCGATACCGCCGATGACCATGACGAAGGATTGTAGGGTGTCGGTATAGATGACTGCTGCAAGGCCACCTAAACAAAGAAAAACAAATATGTTCACTTTAAAGCCTGTCTGCACTAGTTTGTCCAGGAGGGATTAGACCTCCCTGCATGGTCACTGACAGGTGGTTATCTCGATCAAATCAGCTCTCAATTAACATAAGAAAAAGGGGATCATAGGGGACCAACAGGTACATTGTTTGCTATATAAAGGGTGATTGTAGCTACAAGTACTGCAGTCCCGCTACTTTTTAACATTATTGTTGTGTCCGTTGATATATTTCATGTAATGAGTTCCGCATGCTTTTTCTCTCGGCTCGCTAACTCTTTAATCCCCTTCACTTTTCCCCAATTTTTTGTTTAACTGTTATTTGTCTTTCTAATTGGCAGGTGGTGTGGTGAACTCTCAATTTGTCTCATTTGATATTGTTTTAATTTCAATCGAGAGACTGGTAATGGCAACTATATGCCTTACCAAAGGGCACTAGCGCATCGCCTCAGTTGGTTTCGAACCCGGGTCGCTGGATTACGAGACCACTGCTCTATCAACTGAGCTAAACACCTTCAGACCCCGCTATATTTTTTCTCTCCCTCCTGTCCTTCTTCAATTTCTTTCTCTTCTTCTTCTTCTTCTTCTTCTTTCTAAATGTTTTACTCCATACTCCTCTAAATAAGACTTCTTTGTTTCTCCCATTTCTCTCATCTTCTTCCTCATCGTCTATTTCTTCATCGTCTTCTTCTTTTTTTGTAAATGCTTCACCTTATTTCAGCGTGTATTTTTTTAACCATCTCTTTCTTTAATATCTCATTGTTATCTTATTATCTCATCTTCGTTTTTACAGCTTTTGTGTTTAATGGCGATGGTAAAGAATATAATAAAATAAAACTCTCTGACCTGTGATCGTGTAGACGGCAGTTACAGCCAGAAGAATGAAAATAGAAGCATAGATATTCCAGTTGAATGCTTGCTGGATAAAGATGGCACCAGCATAGATATCCACCTGTTATGATAACAAAAAATCAGACAATATAATTGGTTATTGGTCTAACACGTGTTCGTAAAAAGGCAAAACGATTGGCTTACACTTATATGTCAATCACGCATCCATAAAAATGACCGCATATAATGTTTGGCCATATAGAGGACGATCATGTGTTTGGAAAAGTCAATAGGATTGGATATGGTCTGATCACATAACGGACCCTCTCAACTTCGAACTTTTTTACCATTTAGATCAGGTTTTTACCATTTAGGACGATCTAAACGTTTCATTTGTTTTAATTTGTAAAACTAATTGCATTATAACAACAACAAAAAACCTGTTATCGTTTCTTATACAACAATTCTATTTTAGAGAACCTTTTCGAGACTTTCTTACCGATATTTTTGTGAACACGTAGAGAAACAAGGCTGAAAGGGACATGAAAATTCTCAAGCGTTGACCACCGAACCTCACCCGGAGGTACTCGGGCATCGTGTAGACCTAGGAAAAAAAGTACAAAGAGAGATTAATGTCCGAGAAATAGTTTTTAATAGTAATTTTATAACAGAGTTTTATTGTAATAACAGATGCCTTTTAGTTTAATGGACGTTCTGGCATCAATAACAATCGGTAGATTCAAGGGGTTAAGACCACCATGGACCTATTATTCGAAGTAGGTCCATGGTGAGACGAAATGGTAGCCTACTGAAGTACTTTTGAAAGAAAGAAAGAGAGAGAGGGAGAGGGGGAAAGGGACACAGAGAGAAGGAGAGACTGAGAGAGAACAAGAGGAGCCAAAAGAGACAAAAGAAAGAAGAGACAGAGAGAATGAGAGAGAGAGAGAGAGGTAATGAGAAAGAGGGAGAGAGAGAGAGAACATATTGCCTCCCCTGGTCAGATAATTCTGAATCCGCCCCTCACTCAGCGGGGGAAATCCATTCTATTAGAAAATAGATTTCTTCCCAGGGTCCTCTCCCATCCCAACCCCGCTGAGAGAGCCAGGTTCCCCGATATGGTTCCCGGGTAAAATTACTGTTGGGGGGAAAATCCCCCTTTCGGATAATAATTCTGCCTCTGAAAGCCAATAACATTTCCAACACCCCAAGATCAAAGTAGGTGAAGTACCATGTTTCGCATTATTTGCAGTATAGAAGTATTTCAGCATGGACATAGTAGGTCCATGATATATTTGGCTGTTACACATAATGTTTCACTTTTATCGCGTCTTTTATTGCCCTCGGTATTTGGAAACATTCTTCATGTCTCGAGGACAATTACCCCAAGGACATGACCACCCCCCACATAGAGCTTCACTTGTGATGACCCTTAGGTAATGAAGCTCCAAATAAACCATCTGGACAATATTATAAGCCCTTATGACAATCCTCGGATTAACAACTACATTAGGAAGTATAACCTCTCGAAAACCTACCCGTCGAGAATACAAGATAAACCCTGCAAAATTCATTGTATACCTGTATTCCCCGTGCAGATAATATCAGATCCAGTTATGCAGGTTTACAATCAATTATTCGCTTCGCATCGACAAGTAAACACGGTAATAGCATCAAACCTTATCACGAAGACAATTTAAAAGCCATCCAAACAAAGTTATATGGCGTATAAGGAAGAACACGACACATCTAAACATTTTGCTCTGCTTTGATATGTCTACCAAAGATTTTTTATTCACACTGTGTCGTTGTACGAGGAGTCGTTTGCGATTATTACATCTTTAAATTTACTATTTTAAAGTCTTATTTACCCTGTGATTCTACATTTCTAATTGAAAAGTAATCTTTTAAAATAAGAACCGTATGTAAGCTAAAATGTTTCTTAATAGTAGCACAATTCAAAGCTGACACTTATATTAAGTCTTAAAATAAAAAATAAATGAAAGGAAATAAAGCAAATAAAAAAGAAGAAGAAAGAGATAACGACATCCTTTTGTATTACTTACTCCTGAAGATACGTAGACGGGTAGAAATATCCAACCAAGAAGCAAAATGGCAAATGCTGCCTGTAAGAGAAAATTAGAGTGACAATTTTACCATCAACATGAAATGTCAGCATATGAAAGGGGTATATAAATAAATATGAGCCATTGGTCAGTTCACTCATCAGGATAATTTGATTGAAACGACTGGCACCTCGATACTCAGACTATAAACGCCGTGCTAAACTGAAAAAGTATCCATTATTGCAATATTGCGCCCTCTTTCTACTGATCCGAGGCAAGATACTTACAATCAATGACAATGAATGAATACAAAGAAAGAAATACAAGATTAAATGCTATTAACAAAAAAGTTATTAGAGTAATACAACTTAAATTACTCAGAAAAAAATCATATGGAAGCATTTATGTAAACGATATTGTGCGTTGACTAACATGTGAAATAGTTCAAATATTTGGCAACTCGTGATTCAGACTATCACATGCAAAATTAAGCAGACACATTTTTGTTTTGTTCTCGAACTTCTTGTTTCCGTGTCACATTTATTAAAATAAAACGTTGAAAGATAAGGTTTTTTGCACTATACGGCTTGCCATTTCTGAACAATAGTATTATTAATACAAACAAAGTTACCATGATTTCATAGGCGGCCACTGCTACTCCGGCTGCAGCTCCGGTGCCTGCGAGACCGATGAAATGACCAGTTCCGATGTTACTCGCAAATAATGACGCCCCAATCTGAATTTAAAAAAAAATAATAAAGCAAGATTAAAATATGGATCAAGATAATCTGAGTGGCATTCTTTTAAAATTATACTTTTCAAGTAATAATGATGTATGATTTTCATAATTTTGGGGTAATATGTATCTTGATACAATTAGAACTATACTTCTTCCTGAAGGTGAACACTGTATCTATTCACAATTAGTTTAACAAAAATAGTCCTAGTGTAATGCAAGTGCCTTTAGTGATGCCCTTTAAAGCATAACCACCCGTAACCACTAATCAGATGTTTGAATATAATTGTTATTACACAGCTTGGTAGGTAACAAAGGATAATTCTAAATTCTCAATTTCTCACATTTTTGAAACTCATTAGATATTTGAAATCACTTCTAGGTGTCGATAACCACATAAGTTTATGCCTGTAACATGTCAGATTATTGTGGTATCTTGCATATGGACATCCTTTCATTGTCTGTTTAATTTTGTTGAAATAATCTCAGCTCAACTTACCGGCAACCATAACATCGAGCGCCCGGCGAGGAAATACCCACTGGCATTGCTCCTGTTCGTCTTGTACATAGACTGGGAACAGAGATATCAATAATAACGGAACAGTTTATCAAATTTATTAGAATCGGTCAATAATTTGATACGCATTTTATCAGATAAATACTCATGAAAATACTTATTAAGATAAGCAATACGATCCATCATATCAATTGAGTGTATAGTTCTTTTTCTTCGATTATTAAATTTTTGCTGTAGCGGGGAAGAAAAAATATCATAATCGACAACGTTAGGTTGTTATTGCTTATGCATCATTTGTTTTACATAATACTTACACTGATTGTGGGCGGGGGCCTTGCGTATCCTGCCAATAACCTATGCACAAACTACAGTGTGTTGAAGGCAGTCGGGAAGAACCATTTACAGATTTAATTTTCCAATATATGACTGGTGCATTTACCAATTAGTGTTGATTGATAGCCAAACATCTTTGCCAAGATTGTTTCATCGTTGTTACGAGCCACCTGCTGCTAAAGCGGAACCACTGAATTTCCGTCGTGTGTCCATCTTAATTATTCTATTTTCATGATCTTTAGCTTCACCAATGTTTACAATACTCCCCAGTAAACAAAGCACCGTAGGTAGTACAGTGGCATTATAAAGATGTTTATGCAACAGTTATATCGTACACGAAGACATATAATGTGAAACAAAACCACAACGTAATCATCTCAAAAGAACTAATCTTTATGTTTGTTTTTATTCGTCGTTATAATGTTGGTCAATTTTACTGGAAATTAGCCCTGGGGCTGAGAATGAGAATTCTGAGACCAATACATTCTATTTTGATTCACTTTGTTATTCGTAATGTGCCAAGGAAATGGTTTGATAACAAATGATTTATGATCACATCTCAATTGTCATTATTACAAATTTACATTCGAAGTCTTTCGAAATATAAACAAAGCGTTTAATTATAAAGCATTACAAAAAACGAGTGATCATAATTCGAACAAAAGTTTGGTAAATCAATAAAATGGAGAAAGAACAGAAAGAGAAGGGAGATTGAAAGAGAGTGTGGTAGAGAGGGAGTGTGTGATAGAGAGGGGAGAGACTGAGAGAGAGAGAGAGAGAGAGAGAGAGAGAGCGAGGTAGAAAAGTCCAAGGGGGGGGGGGGGGTTAAAGAGAAAAGAAGGAGAAGAGCACGGGAAGTTGAACATTACAAGTCGAATTCCAAATGTCACGAGCCTCCGTTCAGACCTGATTTATTAGGTTTGGAACAATTAAACGCTTCAAATCATGTTGCACATGATCACCAGTTACGATAATCAAGGAATTTATGCCAGGGAGCTATAATACAATGTAGCTCCATATTTACACATTATGTTTCTATTACGTTACGTACTATACATTTGCATCCAACTGACTTGTTACACAACAAACCTTGAAAATCACAACGTGTACCGTTTTTTACAGTTTTATTGCTCCTATTGGCTGAGATAGTGGGCAGGGAAAAGGGTCATATAACGACACAATAACGGCGTAGAACATTTTACGTTATCCACAATTTATTTTTATTACAAATTTGCGCTCTATAGTATCCTTGAATCCGTTAGTGATTAAGCCTCTATTGAAACTCTAACAAGAAGATGATAATGTGGCAATGAGAACATAATTTCTTCAACTTATATTATCCGTCTGCAAACATATCAAGGCTATTAAAGTGCACCGGTAACATTGTTGAAGGTTGAGGAAAAACCTGCCAATTTTTTGTATGAAATTAATAATGTTACTCATTATATACCTCTCTAACATGCAAACAAGCCTGGATTTTGTACCTAGATGTAGGATACTTTTTGGTCATATTGCAGATCTGCAATGTCTTAACCACGCAAACACAATTAGTTGTGCAGTTTTTATGGGGAAAAACAGGAGATCTCAATTATGTACCGGAGAAACGTACGTTGAAAACAACATTTTCGAGGATTTTCATTTTGTATAAGCTAGTAAAGCTTGGGAAATCATGACCTTGTCGATCATTTGGAATTGTAATCAATCTAATATAAATGAATTTTATCTCAGTGTCCGACTGAATTTCGTTGACGAATAATTGTCCGGTCTTATAACTTTAAGAACATGCTTTTGACTTTGTTAATACTCGTACACAATTTGAATGGTTCCATTGTTTTGACAATACTCACTAAATACCTAAAATTCACCACTTCAATTTAGTGAGTGGACTTAATTCATGGGTACATTTTTATTTCTATTTCACCAACTTTTCAAAACATTTCATTGACAAACTTTTCTGTACTACCAAGAAATAAAGCAAAGTGTCCGGTAGGAATAGGTTAATGCATCATACACACTCACCCATAATCCCACAATGATGACGAATATGAAGTAGAGAACGATGATGATGATGTCGGCCGTGGCAAGGGACCCCTCTGCCATCTTGTTCTGTTCCAGACAGCTGAACTGTTACAAGACAGTTCGATGACTTGCTCAACAGGTTGCGAACTGAGGAATGAGGAGTGCTGGGAAAACAAGGGACTGTTATTATGGGAGGCGCGCAGGAGGTGTGTCTCCCGGCCTGTACTGCACTACTCACCGTTGGCCACGTTATGAATAGGAGGGAGGTAGGGGTTAAGGGGGTGTGGGGGGGGGGGATAGAGGGAGAATGTGAGTGCGCGTGTGTACGTGTGGGTGAGAGAGAGAGAGAGAGAGAGAGAGGGGAAAAGGTCGACTCAACTCACTTAGAGAGGGTGCGTGTGTGTGTGTGTGTGTATGTGTGTGTGAGAGAGAGAGAGATAGAGAGAGCGACAGAGAGAGAGAGATATGAAAAGAGAGAGAGAGAGAGAGAGAGAAGATGAGAGGGGTGAAGGAAAGAGGGAGAAAAGGGAGAGGAAGATCGAGAAGGGAGAATGTGTGTGCGCGTGTGTACGTGTGGATGAGAGAGAGAGAGAGAGAGAGAGAGGGGGGGGGGGGGGGGGGGGGGGAGGTCGACTCGCCTCACTTAGAGAGGGGCGCTGCGTGGGGAGAGAAGGAAGACAAAATCCCCTAGCCCCACAGAGCGGATGTACTTGTTTCGTAATTCACTTAGGAACAATTTCCTTTATATCTTTCATTCCTTTCTGGATTGTACCTCACCCCATTTGGTTTGTTGTTGACAGTCATGATCGAACCAACCTTTCCCTCCATCGCCGCACAGTGGGCCAGGGAGGAACCAAAGTGCGCCAAAACTCATGTTTGGGGATTTTCTTTTTATAAATCCAGAGGAAATGTTTGGATTTCCAGGGATTTTCGCTAAAATTGTATTACCAACATTTTCTCTGATGTCTAAGCTTTAAGTTGATACCAGATTTGGCAGCCCGATTCTGCCCGTTATTATGTTAGAGCCGTTTTCCTTGCAACATTGCCCCGAAAATGTGTTTATTTTGGTCCGCGGTGTCAGAACAAGTGTCACGCGCCCCCTCGCGCCGTGATTTATGACCACGAATCCTTCATGATTCAGCCGCGGACCCCCAAAACCCACATTTTTCGGGGCAATGTGGCAAGGGAAATCGGCTCTAACACAACAACGGGCAAGATCGGGCAGCCAAATTTGGTATCAACTTAAAGCTTAGACATCAGAGGAAATGGTGGTATTCAAATTTAAGCGGTACACTGCGGAGATCTAAACATTTCTTCTGGATTTATAAAAAACATGGATAATTAGTCCATTTTTCAGTGAATTACCCTATAATATATCATGAAGATTGTGTTTCTATTAATTTTAACCCATTCATTGAACGAAATGAACTATCAGGAATATGTGAGAGCAATTTCATATCAATAACTTAAAACATTCACGTTGAATTAAAGGATTTATAAAATAAGTCACTTTTGCACTAAAACTGTGAATATGTAGGATTTTGCTGTTTGAAGTAGTAAATTTACACCCTTATTGTGCATAACGAAATTAAATATTTCACTGAGGTATTCCTCTATGTATTACCTTTCAACTGGGCAAGAAAAAATTGAAAAAAAAAATCACCCAAACTTAGTTTTGGCGCACTTTGGTTCCTCCCTGGCCCACTGTGCGCCGTCTCTTCGGCTTCAGAGACATTTATCAGGTGTTCATGGTTAATTTACATTTAAAGGTAGGCCTATAGACCAGTTTTGGAAACGCCCCCTCTCAAAAAAATGAAATGCAAGCTCTTATTACCAATCATGTGCAAGAATATGTTTTGACTAATACGTGATGATACAAATTTTGCCGGGAAACCGCCTACTAATTAATATATTTGGTAAAATATCATATCGATCCGGCCTGGATAGATATCGCGAATGCCTCTCAACATTGAACATTTGAGCATACATTTCTGTTTTTTGCGAATTTAGGTTAAAGTATTACCATCTAAACCTCTGAAAGCAATATTTAAACAATATTGAATGGATATTTTGCACCCAAAAGCCTTGAACCGCAATTTAACCACTACCGGTCTATACCTCAAATCTCATCATCCCTTTGCATAATGATCTTGACTCGTAGACATTCTTTCAAAAATTATTTTAAAAACGAAATTGCTCAATTTTTCAGGTATCGTAGTCGAGTGGTTTCACTTTCCAGGAGATGCGACGGCAGTGGGTTTGATCCGTAAAATATTAGGAATTCATGTCCCTAAGCAAGACATTTTTATCTACATTGTGTCTCTCCACCCAGGACCCCCATATCCCCAAAGCATAGGCTTTGAGCGATATGGGGGCTACCGTGTGTTGAAATTATTAGTGCGCTCTTTAATTTGTTTTATCATTATGTATACATTTTACTTCAGTACAATATGAAACAAGAAATGGAAGATATTAGTGTTACTTTTAATTCAGTCTCGCCCTTTAAAAAACCCCATTAGAATGCAGATTGCTATAGTGAAAGCGGGAAAGATGTAGGCCTATATGGCAAAACATTCGTCAAAGCTATATAGTATGACTAAAAATAGGCCCTATATTATTGCAGAATGAGGGAACATTACAATTTTATCTTCGTTTTGTGTGGCAACCCCATGGTTTTACTCACTTCCGGTTTGATAACTGCCTTCGACAATCGAGTTTTCACATTATCAACACCACCATCTGCCCTCTTTAATAATCCGGTATTCGTCTACTCGACCTCTATGCATCAGTTCAGTGGACAAACAGCCCCCGAGACCGGTATTGTCAGTCTCGTGAAATCTCAGAAAGGATGTAACAAGCCCCCCCCAATCGACATGTCAGTATATCGTACAATAGTCTCTCGGTCTCGTGCGCCATCAGTTTAGTTATCTCTCAAAATGGCCAACCATGCCCACGGGACCGACAATGACGGCCTCATCAACCCTGAGAAAAGCTGACATAAAATCCGCGAGATTGACCGTTTATTTTCATTGAATGACGGTCTCGTGGGCCGTCGGTCGGTCTCATGAACCCGATCAGATCACTTTCCAGCAGGCCGTCGAGACAGACATTGTAAATCTGTTGACCTGCAGTGCTATCACACATCCTACTTTCTGACTATGGAGATGAAATCCCTCGAAGTACAACACATTGACATCATTGAGAAGGAACATAGCTTAAATATACATGGATATAACGTATAAATCAGTTTATTAACACAATCGAACTTGTAAGTTGTAGTATACAATCATTAACTTGTCGGTAATCCTTTAAAATAAAGGATAAATGGAATATAATACGATTAATGTAAAAAATAATCAACTCCAAATTTTTCTTTCACATCAGATGAGTTGCAAAAAATACATAACTAACATAAGGCAAAATTGTGTGATAAATTTTTTATCTAGAAAGTCTCATAGACAATCAATAGCTTAGTACTGAATACAAAGTGAAGATACATATTGATGAATATTGATGCATATTTTAATAATTATAGTTTTTAGATGGTATGCTTTCACTCGTTTGCTACGCCAACTCCCCACCACCATATAACAACAGCGATAAATAAAACCGCTTTCCCACGCAGAAAAGAAATGAGCCCCAATGCCACGAGTGAAAAAATTAATATCATGATGGCTACGCCGCTGTTATTTGATTTGATTTTAAAAATCGTGATTTTGTGCACGGCGGCTATGGCTGAAAATGAACCGTGCTGATATTAACTCGACATGACAAATTGAAGTACATAAAATACAAAAGATATAATTAAAAACATAAAAATCTGAAACATCTCATTTAGTTTTAGCTAACATAACCATAATCATATTTCAATTATAAATATGTCAATGAATTGGTATCAGGTAAAAATGTCAGAGGTAAAAATATAAGGGGTAAAAATGTCAGATGTAAAACTATCAGAGGTAAAAATGCCAGACGTAAAAATGTCACAGGTAAAAATGTTCTGGAATGAAGGTTCTGGAATCATCAAAATAATAAGAAATTTGGCCCAGTCTTGGTAAAGTTACAAGCACTGTACACAGAAAGATGTATATGGGATTACACGAACATGTGGCATAAAAATCCGTCCCGATGTTTATGATGTTACATGCGATATTTAGAATATTAAGGCATTTGAAAAGCCATGTTTTTTCAGGGAACATTTTTTATCTCATGTTTTTCCACACTTGCATAATACGATGATAACGCTCATAATTTTTTTTTTACCTCTTCCCAGAGCTCCAACTTCTCTTTAAGTCTTATTTTTTGGCATGTGAAAATCATGTTTATAACTTGTTGAGTATGGAAATTTAATTGTTAACAATATGTGTGAACTGGACATTGACAGTAGTCCTTCGTGTTTGAATTCGAATTTGCATTTGTTGGCCACACTTTGATAGAAAAAACGATACCCCCTCCCCCAATCCCATCATGACACCAGTACCCCCCCCCCCGGCTCCATGGCTGCACCTACGCCACACCATTGCTTTCATAGTTTCGGTTGGGTCAATGCTTTCACTTCATCTTATCTCATACGTCGCCATTAGTGTGGGCTTTGGGCCTGGGTCTGGTTGAACTCTCGTATTGTTTCTGCAAGTATCTTCATTCCCTGCAGAGAATTTGACAAGGTATACAAAACGAAGAAAATATATAAAGTAATCGATTAATTATGAATAATGTCATATTGTTCAAGCAAACTCAAACATGTTAACATTTTCTGAGAGGGCTTTTTTCAAAGTTGGCTGGGTGAGACTAAATGTTGAGTTCACCCTTTCGGTAAACAATGGTTTGGACCTAAGATCACTTTCCCTATTATCATCAATTTAATATTATTGAATCTATGTTTTAGCGCGATAATTATATAAATCAATCAGATTTGGATGCTTTCATTCCCCAAACCTAGTTTGGCCAGGAGGATTAGATCTCCCTGCGTGGTCACTGGCAGGTGGTTTTCTCATCAAATCAGCTATCAATTAACATGAGAAAAAGGGGACCACAGGGGATCAACGAATACCGCTTATATAGGCATGGTTGGCTGTAAAGAGGGCGCTAGTAGCTACAAGTAGTTAGTGTCCCTTTATAGAGGGACACTACAGGTAGTGGTCCCGCGCTTAATACGCCAAATCGTTGGATCATCTTGTGGTAGCCCTCTACGGCATATTACAGGGATGATTACGATTTTCTTATAAAGCGAGTCTGTCTTTCTAACCTTTGCCAGGTCTTCTTCGGGCCCGACCGAGAAGGCCACTCTGATATAAGACGAGGGCTGTGATTGGTCCATGAGGAAGATACCCCCTGGAGTGAGAAGAACGTCGTTCTTCAGGACCTGGTCCAGAAGGAACTCTTCGGCATCTCGGACGGTCAAGAGCTTCATCCACAAGAACAACCCTGCCCGAGGGACAGACCAGGTCGCTAGACCTGTAGGGGTGCGGGATAATACGAAATAGTAACACAAATCACTTCTACATGATATATAGTCCCGTATATAGTATAGATATATCGACTGCTATGAGAGGCATAGTTGTTTCCATAGGCTCAAGGGAATGTTACATCCCGCTATGACCCCGAGGCGCGCCGCGGCGTCCCCGAGAGCCAGCGTAGAAACAGCGATATGCCTCGAATATTAAAGCAGTCCATATATCTTCTATATACCGAATTCACAAAAAAAAATCTATAAGGAATTCTTGCCTTATCCTTTTCTTGAGTAAAGATTGGTTAAAACATCACAGCAAATCTGAGACATTGTCTATTAATATTCGCTGGAAAGTAGCCTGGATCATTCGGGAATCGCACACACACTGTACATGTATGGTATCCGCGCTCGCGGAGAAAGAAACTTTTTACACGTAAATATATGAGGATCCCAGCAAAATGTACCTGTGTGACCCGTTACCCGGGGCAACGGGTACCTTTCTTATTAACTATTGACCGTTAGGCGGGCATGGATAAAATCACGACTCCAATTTTGACCAATCAGATGAGTAGATTTAGTAAACAAACTAAAGAGAGGTATAAACACTTTATATAAATCCATCATGCTGTGAAGCTCATGGCGATTGGACATTATTAACCCGGTTGTAGCCGAGCCGTCAAATTAACTAGCGCTCAAGCAGACAAAATACCTATTTACATATGGGTGGAGATCGAGAGCGACAAATTTAGATCAAGTGCTGTGCTGGGATTCGAACCCTTAACTTTGTAATCTACTGTCGGGTGACTTATCCACTAGACCAAAATACCTATATACAAATAGGATGAGTATACCCGGACCATTGGTGATGTAGATGTCAGATCGACTTTAGAGGATAGCCCGGGATCTCCCAACAAACGACAACAGCAATACCAACTATATAAAGAGGTCCCTTTTTTTAAGACGTGCCGATAAAATGTATTAAAAACGCCCTCATTAAATCTTGTTGATAGTGATGATGGAGAAAGTGTCCCCTCGCCCCTTGGCAGCACATCCCCTGATAATGATTGTTTATTTTGTTAAACAAAAATAAGAAAGTAGGGGTGTCTCATCCGCAAACTCTCTTCGGGTGTGGGGGGGGGGGGGTCCAATGTAGGCCTATATTATTAAATGATAGTTTCAGTTCGTTAAATATACGAGATAAGACAAACAATTTTGAAGTGATGTGGGTCCAGCAGTAGCTGGTAATCAATTCGCCAGAAATGATGGTTATGCATGGAACCCAAAGGAAATAGAGCCATAGTTATGAATAGAGTTAACAAACGCCCTCTAGTGTCTTGTACCGAATGCGAATTTTCACATTTTTCGTCGGATGCTACATAATATAGGACCAAACAGATATTGACTAATAGGATGTGTTATGTAACATTTTTGGACCGGACAAGAGCTTATAACGTATAATTCCATGCGGAGGTCCAAAGAATGTTCTATTTATATTAGTCAAATTCGTTTAATAACAGCTCGACTTTACCTGTGAGATGGTCTTCTGCAGCTTTTGCAATTATGTCTCGTCTTCGTTTATAGAACTCTCGTGCGGTATCCGTGTGCCGGAGAAATCCATCGATGCCCCACTGCTGGAACTGGCTATTAAATAACACCTGATGACAGAGGGAATGTGAGAAACATGGAAACGGCATTCATGTAATATTAAGGGTTTTCTTGAACTGTAAATTGTCAACATCACCACCAACACCACCATCAACATTAGTAGGATCACAGTTCCACCAGTAATAGGAAGATGACGAGAATGATGATGGCGACTGTGAAGGTGGTGATGGTGCTGGTGTGGTATGACAAAGTGAGATTTTTTAATTAAAGATAAAGATCAGTTCTGGTCATGCGATTGCATTGTGAAAGAAACGTTGTGGAGTCGATCATAAAAGGATGACCATCTAGCAAATAAGTATTGGTGTGTACTGCAACGTTCTGGAATCATCAAAAGGATAAGAAATTTGGCCCAGTCTTGTTAAAGTTACAAGCACTGTACACAGAAAGATGTATATGGGACTACGCACACGTGCGCGACAAATGCGTTATATCTATCAGGTCCAAATAGATATACTAATTTACCAAATCTATCAATTAGTAGGCGGCTTCTCGGCAAAATTTGTATCATCACGTATTAATCAAAACATATTATTTCACATGATTGGTAATAAGAGCTTCCATTTCATTTTTTGAGAGGGGGGGGGGGGGGGGGGTTCCAAAACTGGTCTTTACCTTTAAATCTTGGAAACTGAAATAAGAAGAGACACAGATGGCAATGATGGTCATAATGAGGAGGATAATTTGGATGATTGTGATGGTGGTAGTGCTGGTGGTGGGAAGGGTCGTAATGACGGAGGTGTTGGTGTTAATGAGAATATGAAAACACTCTGGAGTGGGATTTTTAAGATCATAATAAGCTTTTAATCTTATAATCTAACATGAGAAGAGACTTAGATGATAATGATGATGATGATGATTATGATGATGATCGTGGAGGAGGCGAAGATCGTGATGACGGAGATGGTGGTGTTGATGAAAATATGACAACATAATTATATCGATGGTTTTATGAACAGAGACTAATTTATCAATCTGAGTTGGTTGAATTCTTACTTGTGAAAGCAAATTAGCATGCTGACTATCGACTTGGAGTTCGTACATCATTCGTGTGAGCAAGGCATTGGGACCCGACACCCAGCCAAGACGATACCTGAATAAAAAATCAAGATGATAATAATAATGGTAATATGACTTCTGGTACTACTACTACTACTACTACTACTACCACAACAACGTCTACTACTACTACTACGACGACTACTACTACTACTACTACTACTACTACCACAACAACTTCTACTTCTACTACTACGACTACTACTACTACTACTACTACTACTACTACTACTACCACAACAACTTCTACTACTACTACTACTACTACTACTACTACTCCTACTACGACTACTACGACTACTACTACTACTACTACTACTACTACTACTACTACTATTGGTACTACTACTTCTTTTGCTACTACTGTTACTACTAGTACTACTACCGCTTTTACTGCTGATACTTGCTACTTCTACTACTACTGCTGCTGCTACCACTACTTCTATACTGCTATGAACAACGAACGGAATTAACAAAAGATTTAACTCCGTTTCGTTGACAATCAGCCGTAGACGAAAGACTTCATGCATGGCTGATTGTCAACGAAACGGATTTAAGTCTTTCGTCAATTCTGCTTGTTGCTACGGCAGGCAGCCAGTGGAAACGAATTCGTTTGATAAATTTATGGAAATGCAAGCACTACTTTAAACAAATAGAACTTTGTCATTCCTTGCTCATTTTTCCTAATTGAAGTGTCATATAAAAGGGCAGACACTCAACTTTCTAGAAATGTGATTTTTTTCTTTGAAATTCAGATACCGTCTGCCAAATGACTTGTTGGTTTCCTCTTTCCAAATTGATTGTAATCAAACATGCGTGACATATGAGTTGCATCAAATGAGAGAGGAGGATCTAAACTTTACAAATATGTGTCATATATTAATCATAAATGTGACTAAGTTATGATAAAACATCGACAATTCTCGGTTTCGTATTTTCTGGGACGCACTGTAATGCCATTTATTTATATTGTGGTACATTGACTTACCCAGCGCCAAGTATCTTGGAGAAAGAGTCACATCTGATAACCCTGCCATCTACGTCCATCGACAGAAAGGATGGTATCAACGGCTGTGGTAATAAGGAGCGCATAAATATCGTAGAGGGAGTTCCTCGATACGAATGATTTCATTCACTCGTTTCGAATACATGCATCTCAATACTCAGATTTCAATTGAACGCGTTGGTTGTTGCTAGCTAGGATAAACATAATGCCTTGCCCTGCCTGATAACACGTAATATGATCAATTCGCATTCTGACTATTGAAATACAACTATTCGTAACAGGTGAACGAAATAATTTGTAAAGAGGCACTTAACCAAGATTTGTGTATGACACTCGATTACATTACGAAAGTGGCCCTTTGCCTGTCATAACTGCCCGTTGCACACGGTTGCGTCAGTTCACTTGCGCTACTACCTGCGCTAATTAATGTTTTAAAGTGATTGTTGCATACGCTAATAATTTTAATCAATGCATGGCCCGTTCACTTACATCCACCTCGTGGTGCGTCAAAGATCGGGTTAGTCACTGACGCACCACTACGTCAGCAACTTGACGATTCATGTGCAACGGGCTTTATCCCCCCCCCCTAGTAGGGCCACGTGGAACACTTGATATGATATTGCAACTCGAAAATGAGTATATCTTGCCTACAAAAGGACAACATAATTATATAGGAAGTACTCAAAGAATGTGGCATAATTTGTCCGTGTTTTAACATACAAATATACTCCTGTTAATTTAAACAAAATCCACGCAATGAAGTGATGGAAAGGTTACTGAACCCACGACCCCCCCCCCCCTTACACACACACACACACATACACACAGAGATAACAATGGCCCTGACTGCTGTGCCATTGATTGGGAGAGTTTGGCCAACCCGGTTGAGTTGGGCACAATATGGCAACTATAATACGCCATGATGTGACCCAGTGAAACCAAGTTGGCCGAACTCTGTGTATAGATGGCTCTGCATGACTGTATCGTCTTACCCCGTCATACTGCATGTAGTAATATGCATCATCTTCTAAGACGATGAAGTCGTATTTTTGAGCTAGGGCATATATCTCCTGTTTCTTCACAAGGGATACAGTTTCACCAGAAGGGTTGTTGCCATTGGGTACCAGGTAGAACAGCTTGGGTCTCGTTGCCCTGCGAGCAAAAATACAACAGAACCTCTTTTAAAATCTAATATTTATAATAACTATAACGCATTGGATTATAATTGGGTGGTGTCGACTAACAGCGCTTCGTTTTACGGCATAGAAACATGTGAGCATAACCCATACCAGTTTCAGTGGCCCTCTTTGATATGCTAAAGGAAAACTAGTCCTGAAGACGGACGTTTTCGGAGGACATAGGATGTCCTCCAATAACGCCATAAGTTCTGCATCAGCGAACAAACATGACCCTTGAAGGCTCGTCCACAGGTATTTGTGATTTTATAACAACGTGTCCTGTTTCTGAGCGTTGTAACACACATATGTAGTAAATAATCATAAGGCCTTTTTTCGCGCGCAGGTATTGTTTCGTCTCCGCTTGCCAATCATTTAGTAGAAAAAATAAAATGAAACAAGATAAAAAAAAAAAAAAAACAATCAAAACCTTTGTATGTGCATGGATCAAGCCTTTATCAATCGTCATACCTCTAAGCCTTTACAAAAAATAGGACAAAGGTTGTATCCTTTTACCATTTTTCCTTATCGTTTGGATCCCAAGCCGACATAATCTCTCTAAAGTGCGCCATGTCAGGGCCATCCTCCTCCATCTTAATCCCGAGGGGTGTCGCTCCTATGTATCGAAGCTGTGCATATTGAAAAATGAAATTAAAGTCGAACAAATATAACTATACAGGTGAGATAGAACAATAACCAAACCGAAATGTATTAATAATATATCAAGTATGAGGAGTGTCTAAAACTTTATCAAAATGATTAAAAAAACTCATCTAGAATATAGTCCCCCAAAAATGATAATCTTGTAATGCAACATGCCGAAGTGAACATGTAATACTGTTACTACTGTATGTCCTACGGCGAGACCCATGTTTAATACTGTTTTAATCTGTCAGAAAAGTATGCTAATCATCAGCACCCAACATTTCTGCTTCTCTCGTGAACTGTTTATACCCCATCCACCACTTTACGATCTGACTACGATACGATTTAAGAAGAGTTGCAATGGCATTTGATATGAAGAATCAAACAGGCAAGAGTTGGATTATCGAGGATCTGGGACCTGTTTCACAAAGCCTTCGTTCACAGGCAAATGATACAACTCACTGACAAATATGTTGATAACCAAACAGAAGCAAGGATTTCAGTTGCTTTTTAGTGACGAAAACTGTCATATGTCACTGATGACAAGTTTTGTGAAACGCCCCCTGAATAGTTATAAAATAAACTCACTGCTTCCATGAATGTTGGATAAGATCTTTCTTGCACTAAACACAAAGAGCCTTGAGACAGAATCAACCTGGCAGCCTAAAATTAAGGGAAAAGGAAAGCGAGGTGAACATAATATTACATTTTTCCTCGAGCAATAATTAGAAATTAAGAGCCGCGGCGTATCCAGAAATCAGACACTTCCTGGAATTTGAATAAAACTCAAGGTAATACATTTACAGGAAGAAAAAAAGGGTGATTGGGTTGGGCGGTTTTCACGAGTACGTTTTTCATTCTGATGTGTGAGAGATTCAACAGAAACATGTTAAACATATTGAATTACAAATAAACGGCAAAGGAGAATATGACATTACACAAAATAATGACTATATCAGAATTAATTAAAGAGAAGGTTCATTGATTTTTGAAAACTAACTTTAATGTCATTATTGCAAAGGTGACACTTTGATTGGCCAAGGTTATCAAAAGCCAATGCTTGGAAACACTCGAGGTAATGATTATTAACAATTACAAAGCGCTTAGATACAGCCCCGACATAGCACCTGAAAAGCTCTCCGGTCGCTGCTAAGATATGACGTCACATGTTGAACATGATGTGCACAAGCACACATCTCACACAATTTCAGTGCCTGTTTTGCCTGTTTTGTCATCTTTTCTTCAGTTATTTCTCTTACTTCAATACCCTCAGGCGAAATGTTTAATCTATTGCCTCACTCTAAACCCCGTGCATGGTATTATTTTGATGAAAAATGCAAGGATGTCGTCTGCTTGGGTAGGGTTTGTTCATATTGTGACGGCATTAAAACATCGTTATTTTTCCGGCGAATCTTTCGCATATCCCAGATGCTATGGAGGTTGTTTTATTTGTATTTGCATAAATCACCCGATATGTAGATGACCTATAACTTGCATGATGGCCATCTGTTAGCTTACCAGTTTCTAGTAATAAAATATTTGCCATATTTGTGATTTTCTATGAAAGGCATCGTTTTTACTAAAGAGTGGGGACGTACCCATACTCCTGTTCCCCATAGCATAAGCCATGAATTCTTCTACTGAAAAGCATTTTTTTTTTTTTTTTTTGGGGGGGGGGGGGGTTAGGACGGTAATAAACCTGATCCATCTTCTGCTGGATACGCCATTCCACTGAACGAGACAGTGCAAACATGGGCATGAGCACTAAGAGGTACATACAGACAAACATAATACTTAAGGAGACAGATATGAAGGAGCAAACATCGTGATTACATTAGCTTTTAAACGCTGAGAAGAGGAGTTTACAATGCATGTTCCCCCGAGTGTTTGTAGGAAAGAGGTGGAGGATAGGGAGAGAAAGAGAGAGAGGTAAAGAGAGAGAGAGAGAGAGACAGAGAGAGAGAGAGAGAGAGGAAAATCAAGTTAGACATAGAAAGAGAGAGAGAGAAAAATAGAGATAGACACACTCACGCACACATACAAACAGACACAGACACTCACCCCAGACACGCACATACATAATCGAATGCAATTGAATTGATAAAGTATTTATTCAAATTAAACTCGGCAGCTCGAGGGCTGAACTACATATTAAAGTAAAAGAACAAAATAAACACAAGGGACCGATTTGTACATTAATAATCATATAAGTATAAGTTGAAGAGGGGGGGACATGAATACAGAGAGAGAGAGAGAGGGAGAGAGAGAGAGAGAGAGAGAGAGAGAGAGAGAGAGAGAGAGAGAAAGAGAGAGAGAGAGAGAGAGAGAGAGAGAGAGAGAGAGAGAGAGAGAGAGAGAGAGAGAGAGAGAGAAGAAAGAGAGAGAGAGAGGGGAAGCACGAGAGGAATGACATAGAAAGAGAGGGGAGAGATAGCGAGAGGTAGACTGAACGAGTGAGTCAAAGTTGTAGAGTTAAAGAGAATGAGGGAGAGAGAGAGAGAGAGAGACAGAGATAGCGTGCAAAATAAAAGGTGGTGGTAGGGGCATAAGTAGACTGAGATACAAGTTCGATCAAACAACGGGGTTAAATTAGTCTTCCCCTATCCTTTTAAACTCATTGACCCGTATTTTACTATAACCCAAATAATGATGGGTTTAGGCATTTTGTTTAAAATCAGGTCCTTTGTGAAACGCGAATAGGCCAATAGATCCAAGAGTCAGATGGAACCGAATTATCGCAGTACGAGCATTGATTTCATTGTCAAACCAGTGAGAGATAATTACTAAAGAGTTGCGAGAGTGGCCCATATTTATATTTCATGAACCATGTATAAGCTAGGTCAATTCGCTATTTAGTCAGTGATGGAAGTTAGAAATGAGATTTTAGAGCAACTCACCAAGAAACAAAATGGACCTGTATACTAGGCCTACTACTATCATTACTACGACTACTAGCAGTGTTGTAGTCCTGTGGTTTAAACAATTGACTGGATTTGCGGACGGTCGTGGGTTCGATCACCGGCACGACACTTGAGTCCTTAAAGGTAAAGACCAGTTTTGGAAACTCCCCCCTCTCAAAAATGAAATGGAAGCTCTTATTACCAATGATATAATAGTACGTGCAACCGCCTACTAATTGATATATTTGGTAAATTATCATATCGATCCGGCCTGGATAGATATCGCGAATGCACTTCAACATTGAACATTTGGGCATATATTTCTGTTTTTGGCGAATTTAGGTTGAAGTATTGCCATGTAAACCTCTGAAGGTAATATTTAAACAACATTGAATGGATATTTTGCACCTAACCCCCCCCCAAATACTACTTCTAATACTACTATACCACGACTTCTACCACTACCACTACCACTATCACTACTACTATCGCTACTTCTTCTACTACTTCTATTACTACTACTACTACTACTACTATAGCTACTAATACTACCAATACCACGAGTACCACCACCACTACCACTACCATTACCACTACCTCTAGGCCTACTACTATTGCTACCACTACGCCCTCTTTTATGACAAAAGGTGATACTGACCGAAGATATTCCGTGACATCCTCCTTGGTTGATCATCACTCGAAGTTGTTTCTCAGTATCATTGTCTTGATAGGTTGGTGGATGATGTACCCTGACTGTCAGGTCGCTCAAGTAGGTAAGCAGTGGCTTAATTCTGTCCGTGTTCCAAAAAATAACAATGGCGGAGGAGGAGAGGAAGGAGATGGAGAAGTATGGAGGAGGAGGAGGAGGAGGAGGAGGGCGAGAGGGAAGAGGTGGATGAAGAGGAGGAGGCGAAAAAGGAGAAAGATGGGAGAGAAGATGGGGGAGAAGAAAAAGAAGGAGTCAACTGAGGAGGGGGGGGGGGGGGGAGTAGCAGGAGACAGAATAAGAGGAAAAGGACGCGGAACAGAAGGAGGAGGAACGAGAGATGGCGGGATCAGGATGAAGAGGAGGTGGAGGTGGAGGAAGAGGAGGAGGAGGAGAAGGAGGAGAAGGACAAGGACAAGGACAAGTAGAAGTAGGAGGTGGAAGCGAAGTCGGGGAGAAAGTAATAGGTGGAAATCAGAGAGAAGGGGGAGGGTGAGGAAGAGGACGAGAAAAAGTATAAGGAGAAGGTGAGAGAGAAGGTGGGGAGGACAGATAGGAAGAGATGGGGAGGAAAAGAAGAAGGAGGAGGTGGGGAAAAGGCGGAAAGGAGAAGGAGATAGAGGATGGGATAGAAGGCGGGGAGGAGAAGGAGATAGAGAATGGGGAGGAGGAGGGAAACGAGAAGGAGGAGAGGGAGGAACAGAATGAGAAGAGGGAGGAGAACGAGGAGGGGGGGGGGGGGGGAGGAAGAGGAAATCAATGTAAAGGTCGAAGGGCACAAGTTCAAAACTCTAGTCCAATTAACCATGTTGTCTGCACGTACAGATACGAAATTTACACATTAAAGGTACTATGTCCCATTTGCAGGCCAAAAAAATGAAAAGGCTAAATTCCAACGGCATTTGAAAGATAATACTAATTTAGAACTTCCCTAAAAAAGGTGAGGCTTGAAAATGTCTTCAAGTGGGAAAATAACGACTATTAGTTGTCAAATCGACTTAGGAGCTATAGAGCCAATAAGTAATAGTCTTGATTTTCAGACCATTGTACCGAATGGTCATATGTTTTACGCTGCGCAAAGATTCAATCAGTTTAATTTTGGCCATCACAAGAAGTGGATTATTGATGTAGACAAATGCTCATGTACCTTTTACAGCCCATTTTATGTACGTTATTACCAAAGAACAAAAAAAGCCAGTCTGTCACTCAATAGTGTCTGACAGTAAAGTCTAGCAAGTAAACAGGTTTCCTTGCATAATTTGAATATTAGGACAATGCTAACGTTTAAATTTGCACAGATAGGACATACATGACATATTCGTAATTCCTGCAAAGTTCTACATAATTTTAGGTTGGCTGCAAAAGGGACATAGTACCTTTAACATAAAGCCTTGGGCTTGGCCTAACTCTGTCATTCTCTGGCTTTCATTCATAAATGCTTGTTCATATTAAACGTGGTAAGAAACTGCTCCGCCCCCAAAAACAAAAAGACAAAAAAAAAAAAAACTACAAAAACAGCAACAATAACAACAAAAATGCGTTATTTTTTTTTTGTAAACGTGTAAATGATTGGCAACTAGGCGTGTATTGACAAAGTATAACTCGTTGAAAAAAGAGACGAAAAGACACTAGAGAACATTATCTATTCGTTTGTTATACCATGGACCTATTACGGATGGACATTCAACGTGATTCTTTCTTTGATCCTATGATAGTCACCGCCTTCTAATTATGTGCATCTTAATGAGAACATTCAGCTGTTTTAACAATAACGACTTCGTTAACATTTTCGGTCTTTGACAAAGGAGCAGTTTCCCTCTCTTGGGTTTTGTTTGGATGGTGTGCTCTGTAAGAGTGTGTCTTAAATAAAAACATCCCTAATGGGGAGCAGCAAAGTTGAAAAGCAGACGGTTTTGGTGATATGATTTGTATTATTACTGATTTGCACACTTTTGCACACACCCATGACCTTATAAAACAATTAAAAGGCCATGATCTTTATAAGCCCTGTGCATTGTAACTCTGGAATATTATGAGGAAATAGGGGGAAACTGGATTTTAAATCACAACCAATCCAGATATAACCTCTATCTGGTAATATCAGCATGTTTTATAAAATAAAATACAGTACACGGAACAACAATTTCCGATTATAGGCCAGAACTGCACATCGATTTTCCATGATTTAGCAAGTAAGTATCTTCTGCGCATGTAGATTAACATGTGTAAAATCACTATCTTGATTCTGTCCCGGCTTTTTGGCGGTGACCATCATGAGATCAAAGTGAAGAAACATGTACGGAATTTTATTGAGACGACAGTGACGGAGACAATCACAATGATTTCGTTAAGAAAACGATGAATGTCCATCCGTAATAGGTCCATGGTTATACATACCCGTCAGTATGTCCGTAATTATACGCAATTTGACAGTCTTCTTCGGTAAGTTCCAGTGTTGATCCATCTCTGTAAAAGGGAAACAGAAACCACTTTTAATAATAAAAAAAGGCAATTCAACTCATCGAATGCAAATGTGTTGGAAGAATAAAATACCAATACCCTATTGTTTCATTATCTTATAGTATTTGTTAAAACAAATTAAAGACATATATAGGTCATCTAGGTCTAAATGTCGAATTTATTGCTCGATGACCTTAATATTGCATCTCTATACTCAAGAACAATCGGTGCTAGGGTGACAATTTTCCTTGCCTTTATTTCATCAAAAGTATAGGTTTAGGGTTGGATATATGGGTTTTAAGTTAGGACTAGGGTTAGGGTAAGGGTTAGGTATTGTGTTAGGTCCAGGGCTAAAGTTAAAAATTCGTAAAGTATTGTAAATTAACGTGGAGCAATTGTCGCAAGAGCAAGTGAGTGAGACCAAATTGTTATCATCTCATGAGAAAGATAACAATTCCGTAAAAAATAAAACAGCCCCCCCCAAAAAAAAAAAATAAAAAATAATAATAATGATAATAAAAAATAAAAATAAAAAATAAATAAATAAAAAAAATATGGAGTGCGCATTAATTGGATACACTTAGTGGATTAATAGAATTTCACAAAGAGATTGTAAGAGATTTTACAAAAATAGGCGAAGACAAACATAACAAAGATAATGAGAGACATACAGAGATATATGAATTTATCGCTTTCGACTTGTTACTTTTGTTTAACAAAATATCATTTGCGAAGAGGTCAGTCCTTGTTTGAAAGCAATAAAGACACCTTGGATTATTCAATACCACCCCTAAAAAGTACATTTTTCTTATACTCCTATGTATACAGTAAACACAATTGTCCTGAGGATAGGAGCGAACAAGAACAATATACATGTATATTACCTGAAAGAAATTATTCACATCTAAATAACAGGTATGTATCAAGGGGCATCTGACAGATTTCTAACGGCAAGTTAAAATCATAAAAATTATGTATAGTATAAATCGAGGCAGATAAATATTACGAACACATTGATTATGTTCTTCAAATACAATAAACCATTTTCGTACTGTAATCAAACTTAATGCACAAAATATTTGATAAGTTCCAAGTTACGAATTATTTAATGTACCTGTTTTGGATGATTATATTTCAATAGACCAAATGTTAATTGCATACATCTATTCTTGCTAAATAGGACAAACATTATGGCTTGTCAGTCCTACCTAACAACACGCCATGCATGCAACATGTAATGTATTGCTCACAAGTAAGCAATGTTGTTAGGCACACTCATAATGGTAAGAGGGTGAATTGCCCAGTTCGCCCGATTTGTAAATATGTTTATCATTGTTCATATTATCATAAATTTATACTATTGTTGTATTGATACTTTGTTGTAAATATTACAAATCTTACAATGCAATTCGCATTTTGACTATATTGAGATTACGATTATTCGTAACAGGTCAATTGTATAATTCATAACGGGGCACTTAACTAAGATTTGAGCATTACATTTCATTACATTACGAAAAGGGGATATTGAACAGTACCCCCTGGACATTGATATCAAAACAAATAAGTTTATTACGTCTCAAAGTGCATCAAGACTTAAATGAGGTCAGGTTACGAGAAAACATTGACCGATCAGAGGCAGGCAAGGTTTGAGGCCTCTGCAACCGAGGAGAGTTGAATTCTTTCGTATATTGTAATTCGAACGAATAATAATAATAATAATAATAATAATAATAATAATAATAATAATAATAATAATAATAATAATAATAATAATATTAATAGGTATTTGTATAGCGCCGTCTATCTAGACAATGCTTTACCGAGGCGCACAAGAAAATAGAAAGAATACACATTTATTCACAAGATCAATCATAAAAAAAAAATTTAAGGCAGCGCTTTATCAATTGTGGCAAATCTGTCAATCACAATGTTATCATATTTCAAACACATTTATTCACAAGATCAATCATTAAACAAACTTTAAGGCAGCGCTATATCAATAGTGGCAAATCTGTCAATCACATGTTATCATATAACAAACATATTAAATTTATAATAATTGCTCTAAATAGATTTGAACTTTATTTTTTTTCAAACTAACAGTAAAATAATATGCTTAAACATCGAAATTCAAGCAGAGATAGCGAATAAGGTTCAGGAACGACAAACATATTGAATATAATTATTGCTCGAATAGAATTGAACTTTATTTTTTTCAAACCGAGAGTGAACAAATACGATTAGACATCGAAGTTCACTCAGAGATAGCGAATAAGGTTAGGAACGACAAAAGAAGAGATGCAAAGGACAGTTTAATTGCGACCGTTTAGGGTTGACAACGTACCGAAGTTGAAACTTGGCTCCAACAAACTGACACAAATCGTTGTGCGGTAGCCCCGGTGACATATTGATAAGAGGTCTAGTGGCCTCACGCCCAATCCTACCTGAAAACAATGGTGAGAATGAAAATTGGATTTATGAAAGAAAGGCAGATAAATATTCTACATTATACATCAGAAACTCTTGAAAGATTATTTGGAAGGAAAAGTATAAGGTACTGACCAAAAGGGAACATCATCAAGAAATAGCTTTGAGGAGAACATTAATAGGCAATCCATTGTATGAAAGCGGAAGAACGAGAGCGACAGAATGGCCAAATATTGAAATAAATTGGACACATATTGAGAAAGTTGTGAGTGTTTGAAATTGAGATCACCAAAGCTATTAATATCTCAAATCATCAAGTGGGTTATGACGTATTTGTGATACCTCTCCTGTTTTTCATGTACCAAAATAACATACATTTCTGTTGTTTGCATGACAAGGCAAACTAGACAATTCCATTTAAGAAATCCAAAACCGCATTGGCTCTCAAATCAGTCAGACACACCGGCCCAGACATCTGAACTCTCTGCCCATTGTACTTCGAAACCTTAGCACATTACATTCTTTTAAGAAGGTGGTTGAAACCAGGGGGGGGGGGGGTGTATCACCTGGTTTATCCATCCACGAATGAACCTGCATTAAATCAAAATAATTTATGTAAAAGAAAAACAACACTCCTTTTCTTCTCTGCTAGTCACTCTTCTGCTTTGTTAATCTTTATTGTTGTATCTCAGTTGAGGGCTGCCGGAACATCAAGCAACCTTGTTTAATATGCATGTAGCCCTCCTGCATCTAATGTATGTTAAGTATGCATTCAATACATTTGATTAATTTCGTATATTTTCTGTATAAAATTCATATACATATGAAATATTTTATCAATCCAATGTTAATTATACATGCAATATATTTGTTTAATTTCGTATATTTTCTGTATAAAATTCGTATACATATGAAATATTGTATCAATCCAATGTTAATTATGCATTCAATATATTTGTTTAATTTCGTATATTTGTTGTATATATACGAATATTGTATTAATCCATATTATGTTCATGAAAATGTATGGTGAAAAAAGAAAAAGAAAGATGCAGAAACCAATAAATTAAATCAAATCAAACAATCATTATCTAATATTATACTCATGAGGCTTAAATTCATTCAATTTATAACGTGTAATAATTCGATTGTAGCAATCATATTGTAATTCATATATTTATTTGTCGAACGCTACAGTTTCAATATGTAAATTATTTCTACCATTTTCATGTATTTTTTTGTAATTTTATTTGTATTTGAAATCCTAACTTTTGGTTGGAATTAATAAAGGTAAAAGAAATAGTACATTTTGCCCATATCATGAGTTGGAGCGAAAGCACAGTATAGCTTGATCACGCAGAAGCATGGTCCCTCAATAGTGAGCAACATTAAATGCTGAGACTTGTGTAAAAAAGATTAGGAGAGATTTCCTTTTGCGACAGCCACCTAACATTCTCTCTTCTCTCCTTTCTTTCCTCCTTTAATCCATTCATACTTTGACATTGCACAGGACATCACATCACACAAACTTCAAATATTAAACAAATATGGTTTCTGGGTGGAATTGAACTCCGATCCATTGATCTGCAGTCCATCACGATACCGATGTATCTGCGAGAACGAGTTCAATTTAAGTAGCGATATAAGCTATAGATACTTCAGACTACATCTCCCTGACATGTACCATAACCCTTAGCCTATTTTATCATGTTTTATATATCATGTTTTTATTAGATCAATATGTGCCCATATTTTTCCCAATTTGGGTGACTGTCACAAGAGAAAGTCTTCCCAATTGCTATTGCTATTATAAGTGGTATTATTATCATTATAATTATTATTACCCTCGTCGTCATCATCATCATCATCATCATCATCATCATCATCATCATCATTCCAATGTGGATTAAAATATAATTGAGAACAAGCATATTTCGATGATCGCCGCTAAACCTTACTGAATTTCCGCAGGGGCGAAGGGCGACGCTTCGCACCGGCCTCGCTGAGAAACTCCGCGTAGTTCATTTTCATTGGTGTTCAAAACGAAACTCAAACCACAAAACTCTCGGTAAACTTTAGGCCACGTTATCTCGAAGTGTTCTCGTCTGGTCAGTACCAACGTCTAACGTCCGAATAACTTTGAGGACTGGAAAATGCAGAGGAGCCAGTATATTGATGAAAGTCCGTGTTGACACGAGTAGGCTTTAGTTTATAGGCGACAAGCGCTTATCACGATATCGCATGGAGAAAGCACGTATGAATTTTACAGACACTCATCACAATCACAAAGTTCGAGGTTTTAGGGTTCTTAGGAGTAGGCTTTAGCTACATTACGCGCGCATTTAATGCTATCGCGAAGGAACAAAGTCCATGTCATATCCATACTGTAAACATTATGGAAAAACATACACAAACCCCTCAATAGATCTGATCGTTAATAACTGGTGACTATTCCGATCCCACTTGACAATGTACTTTTGATTCTTGTAGCCTAAATAAATAGTCGTAATGCCTGAATGCACCCATTCACAAGTCCTTGTCCCGAGGCCATCACTATAAAGACTTTTGGTTTAGATTTGAAAATATCTTTGACAAAAGTACAAGTATGGACTCCGAAAATACAGTTAGTACAATATATAGCCGAGTGTATTAAATATCTTTTGGTACAGTTTAGTGTCAGTATTTTGTGTTATACTTGTACTTTTGTCAAATACATTTTGTTGACATTTACTGACACATTACGCGTGCATTTAATGCTATCGCAATGAAAAAAGAGCCCGTTTCAACTGCGAAATGCCAATTTCATTATGATTTAGCCTATTCTTGTGTTTTATTTTATTTTCAGCTCGTTTTCTGTGTAAAATCAACGGGTCGGGCGACGGAGCTTTGATAACATGTCACAATTTGGAATACCTCGTTCTTCTAATTTTTACTTTGAGAAAAAAAAAATTCTATGCAATTTACCATTCCAACCATATAAAATTCGTTTTTAATTTGTCAATGTAATCCCCCGCGTCTCCAAAATGTAAGACCATCACATATTTGCTGAGCGAAAGTTTTTGGTGAGATGTCTCAGTTTGAGAAATGTGTCGCGTATACGTCTATGTCACGGTCCACTCACTTAATACTATGCACAGTGGTGGAACGATACCGGCGGCACAGAGATACGGGATTTAAGTATTAAATCTCTTGTGTGCACATATCATGACTGATGCATTTTCTCCAATAGGCCATTTTCGTAATGTAACCAAATTGAATGCATAAGTCTGTGTGGACTGTCTCAATACAAATTATTTCATTCACCTAATAAGAATAATAGTATTTCAATAGTCAGAATGCAAACTGCATATATTAAGTGTTGCTTGGTAGGTCAAGCCATAATGTTTTTCCAACCTGGCAACAACTTATGTATGCAGTTCGGATTCTGTCTATTAAAATACTATTATTCTTATCAGGTGAATGAAATAATTTGTATTGAGGCACTTCACAAAGACTTATGCATTAAATTTAGTTACATTACGAAAATGGTCTATTCCAATAGGGTCCATTCAGTTGGAAACCTTTTGATATGAGGAACAGTGTCCAACGAGGTGCACAATGTAAATTGTAGAAAATATATCAATTCACATCGTATGATGAAATACACAAGAGGCATGGTTCAACTTCAAAAGCGCTTTCGATTTATTCTCATCAGAAGAAGTTAGCAAGTCATGGAAAGAGACAGAGAGAATGATAGAGAAGACAGAACAGAGATGACAGAAATTACTGAAGGTGTACAGACTACCTGTTTTCTATACACCTTAACACCTGATCCTAAACATAAAAAAGGAAACACAGGATAATCAAAGCCGTAAAATCAACTTTTACTCCATAAAACGGCTTCTTTATCCTGGTCCTAATTTGAATACAACTGAGTAACCATATAATAAATTATATACCGTGTGAGTCAAAACAAGTTTACACCTAAAAAATTGCTTATCATTTAAAAAATCATCTTTAAACAGTAAATTATTATACATCTTATGAAAAAGTGTTTTATCCCAAATCATTTGATTTCATTTTTGTGTGGTATGTTTTCGCGCTTGGATGAACAGGAGACATTGTTTGCGAGAGTGCAAAATTCGACTTGCGCCAAAGTAATACCTACAGTATGAATTATGTTGGGATTAGTGGAGAGAGAGAATGAATTGAATGTATCAAATGAAACGCATTGCATAGGCCTATGTTTTTCCAGAAGCAAAGTCAAACACACACACACACACACACGCGCGCACACATGTTCGTTGATATTTGATATTCGATATTCGACATTATTTTGTGGCATTCAATAGCATTCAAATGTCAGCATGAATTGGCTCCTCTCTACTTACAACAGCTTCTCAATGAGTATCATCTAATTAGGCAGCTTCGTTCTAGTTCAAAACAGTTGTTTGTCCCCCTTACGGTATCTACAATATCATATGGGCATAGAGCATTTCAATATGCAGTCCCTCAACTATGGAACAAACTTCCCTATTAATATAAAACAATTTTCTTCTCTTGATATATTCAAGCCTCTGTTAAAGTCTTACCTTTTGCAAACGTAATTTTGTACCATTCTTTGTACAATACAATGTATTATACATGTACATGTAGTTTCAGTTTGGATATTCATCATGCTATTATGTTTTTTTAATGCATTTCTTCAGTATTCACTTTTGAATTTTTTCTGTTTGCACAGCGCTTAGAGACTTAATTGCAATTTGCGCTATATAAAAACTGAGTATTATTATTATAATTGTTATTATTAATTTTGTTAGGGATGTTATTTGTATCTGCAAAGGCCGAATTAATACCCAAATCCCAATTACTTTATTCAAACATCACATAAGCAACTTTGGCGCAAGTCGATTTTTGCACTCTCGCATACAATGCATTCTGTTCATCCAAGCGTGAACACATACCACACAAAACGATTTTAAATGATTCGGGATAAAAATATTCTTTTAATAAGATGTATAATAATTTACTGTTCATAGATGATTTTTAAAATAATTAGCAATTTTCTAGGTGTAAACTTTTTTTGGACTCACGCTGTATAGCTATGTAAAACCTTAAAGGTGAAATTTAAAAGAAAATTACAAATATGTCAACTAATGTATCACTAGAAACTGGTAAGCTAACAGATGGCCATCGTACAAGTTTTAGGTCCACTACATATCGGGTGATTTATAAAAATAAAAATACAACCACCTCCATAGCAGCTGGGATAAACGAGAGATCCGCCGGGAAAATAACGATGTTTTAATGACGTCATTATATGGACCAATACTGCCCAAGCAGACGACATCCCATAGAGAATGAACATAATTGCAAAGCTATTATTTGTCAAATTATGATGAGTTTAGTGAATATAAATGTAATGGCATGTCAAACCATTAAAAAGGGAATATGACCCGATTCTGATAAATAAAATCTTTTGCTTGTAAATACACAGGATAGGGGTTAATTAACAATCAAAGAATCCAGGTTTCAAATTGAAACCCCCCCCCGGAATGATATTAAGGACGGCATTTGTTCCCTCTTGAAACGCCGAACATACCGCGGTGTGTGCAGCTGAAGATGCAATGGCGTCTTATTTTGTTTACAAGCGAAAGATTCCTTTATTTTTGTATCGCTGCATTATTTTGTCATCAAAATAAAACCATGCTCGGGGTTTAGAGTGAGGCAATAAATTATGAATTTAACCTGACGGTAGTGAAGTAAGAGAAAGAACTCAAGATAAGATGAAAACACAGGCACTGAAAACGTGTGAGATGCCATGGGACATCGTCTGCTTGTGCAAACCATGTCCATACTGTGATCTCACATATCTCGGCAGCGTTCGGAGAGCTCTTCAGGTGCTATGCCGGGGCTGTATTTAAGCGTTTTGTAATTTATAATAATCATTACTCCGAATGTTTCCATACATTGAATTTTGATAACCTTGTCGAATCAAAGTTTCAACTTTGCAATAATAAAAATAAAGTTATTTTTTAAAATCAATGAATATCTACTTTAAAATACTAATTTCACCTGATGAGAATAAATCGAAGCGCTTGTGAAGTTTAAATATATATATATATATATATATATATATATATATATATATATATATATATATATAAATATATACAAATGAAAGAACTAATGAGCCTCCTTGCAAGAAGAAATTAAGGAAATTGTGATACAATTTCTCCTTGTACAGATCGAAGGATCATTATGTTCTTATTTCTTGTGTTTTTGTTTTTCTCGAACTTCGACCAGGAATCACTTCTCTCTCCCCCTCTTTCTCTGTACATACATATATATATATATATTTATCTGTGCGCGTGTGTGTGTGTATGGGCGTATGTTTAGGTATGTGGTGTGTTTGTGTGTGTGTATGTGTTGATATCCCATTGAAAATTGCAACTAAACGTATAAAAGCTCATGATACTAAGATAATACATAACAATTCATACGAGAGAAATGGCTTGTATAGTAATCGAATAATGTACAAAAAGCGAGACAGAAATTTATCGGATTAATGAAAACACATTTTTTGGATGTAATAAAGACGTCGTTTCATGCTGCTTTTAAAGCCAAATATAGTGATGTAATATGCGACAGCACTTTGGGTACAAACATAAATAGCGTGCTCTATTAAGCGAGTACATGTATTTTGTCTATATTAATATCTGGTTGCTAGGGTTGATTAGGTCAATAATTTTCTCTGGTTGACAGGTATTATCTTAATTGATGTTCCCATGGTAACAGCATACCACTAATTAAACATTTTTATGAGATCTAACCACTTACAATGTACTGCCGATATCGCGTTATAAGTATTCAGCCCACGCACCCGCCCCCCTCTCTCTCTCTCTCTAATAAATATTTTAAATTCTGACTGTAGTTGACTTGAATCTATTTTTATGGTGTGTTGATAATTTACACAAATTATTTTGCTGAATGGTACGACAATGGTATATCGCCAGAGGGCTGTTAGTGACGGGTTGGGATTTGAACCCGCAGTCCTTGGATCGGTAATCAATTCAGTGAACCTCTAAACCACGAAATCTTATTGCACTCGAGGCGTCATTTCGATTGCGTCATTAATTGCGCTAATCAATTCCGTGATGGCAGCTGAGCTAGCCCATAGGCCAGTGTGATTCCATGACATTTGCTCCGGCGACAATTGCTCCGCTGTGAATTTCATACACTAATCGAATGGCTAACTTCAACCCTGGATTCAACACTATACCCTACCCTAAACCTAACCCTAAACCTAACATAAAACCCTATTGAAACCCTAACCCTAACCCTACATCTTAGACGAAATAAAGCCCGGAGCAATTGTCGCAGGAGCAAATGTCGTGTCACCGCCAGTGTTGCAACGCAATGAATGTACGCGCACTGCTCATTTGCTGTCACTTC